CACTCCTGTACTCTGGCGACAGCAATCCTGTACTCTGGCGACAGCACTCCTGTACTCAAATGTCTGCATTGCTGACTATGATCTGTTGACTCGATGCTGTTTATTGAAATGCCTGTAGGAATTAGAAACATTGCAATTTAAGATTAATTAAGGAATGCCGAATAATTCCAGTTAATTCTCATCCAGTTGGGAAATGTATAGGTAAATATATAGTCTGGCAGGCAAGGAACTTTACAAGGAAGTGCTGAATGGTTACGTTTACATGCACCTAATTTGCACAGGTCATGAGAACACGAGTTCTTTTTTTTATGGTTGAGGGGCTTGCGAAGGGTATATGATTTGCAATAAACATTTGCAGCACTGCGCCATTTTTGTACTTCCTCTTGAACTTTTTGATGAAATCAAACTATTTTGCGAGATTGAAACATGTCTGCTTGGCACTTAAGTTTCACGAAAACGTGATTACTTTGGATCAAAGTTGCTTCACTTATAAACGAGTTTTTTGTACCTCGTCTTTCTTGGCCTCGCTCCCTCACTTCCTGATGCCTCTTTATTTTGCGCTTGCTGGGCCGGAAGGCTCTGAGCTATTCGATCACGTTCAATTGATGAACAGTTCTGGGCATGTGACAAAGATCTGTAGTTCCCTTAATTTCAACTAACTCTGTGCCTCTATTTCGTGCCATATATTCCTATTTAAAATATTTGTTCCATTTAATAAAATTTAAAATATTTATATTCAAAATATTTGTTCTATTTAATAAAATTTAAAATATTTCTATTCAAAATATTTATTTTATTTAATAACATTTAAAATATTCCTATACAAAATATTTGTTTTATTTAATAAAATGTAAAATATTCCCATTCAAAATATTCGTTCATACGATATTTCTTCTAAGGAGTATGATTATTGTTGATAACAAAATTCATTCTAAGGAAAACGATTATTGTTGAGAGAGATATATTGTTGGCGTAAAAAACATCAAAAAAATTAATCAAGGGTTAGTTGTTTTTGAACATTTGATTTCAGTTTTTTTCTCAGCAAGGAGGAAACTAAAAAGAAATTGGTTTGCGTGCGTGTACATAAGATTTGTTTATGAATGTCATGTGTTTGATTTGCAAGCCTTCTTGACAGTTGCCGGTAATCTCATGTTCATCACTCGTGTCAATTATTAGGTTGTTAAAGAAATATAATTTTTTAATCTCAAGCTCAAAAATAATTAGAGGCTATAGTTCTTGATGAGATTCCTTCGCCCGTCCATTAGAGCGTTGTAAGGAAATGGTGCGCTGGGAAATAACTGAAGGCCGACCAGAAGGTAATGCACTAAAGGAAATAGGCTGGATTTGTATGTCTATTTCAAGTAGAAATACTGTACTTTCTATTCAAATCTTCATGGTCTATGTACTGAATTAATTTATTTCATTTATTTATGGTTCATATACTTGCGTTGAATGCTTGTATAAATGCAGCGAATAGGTGCATGATTGCATTGCAGCAAGAGGATGAACGAAGTTATTTCTGTTGTTCACTACTTTATGTATAATAAGAGGGGATTAAGGCTAAAATTATAATTTGAAAAACGTGATTAGTAAGATTATAATTTTGCCGTTCGTTATTTCATAAAATTAATGAATATTGGCCTGCATGAATTTTGTTAAATTTGTGCATTTTCGACAAATGCACAATCATGCATTCCTGAAACATCCGCAATTGCTCGACCATTTTTGACAATTGTGCGTTTCTTTTTTAAAATATATCTTCATTGATTTTTACCTCGAATTTACGAACCTCAAGCAGAAAGTTAAGCTAAGAAAGATAATAAATAAAAACCCATCAAAAGTATATGTTCCAAAATAGCTTTAAATTACATAACGAGTAGGTGATATTTTCTAATTGAGCCACACAGAAAAATTTATTCAGATTTTATGTAGCTCAAGTGATGATAGTAGTATAAGAAAGTTTAGTTCAATTTAAAATGTAATGAGAAGAAAAGTGTTGTCTAAACATGCCCCTCAATATTACATGCCCCTCATTACATAAACATGCCCCTCATACAGAAAAATTCATTCAGTTTTTATGTAGCTCAAGTGATGATAGTAGTCTAAGAAAATATAGTTCAATTTAATATGTAATGAGAAGAAAAGCGCTGTCGAAACATGCCCCCTCAACAAGTGATGATAGTAGTATAAGAAAATATAGTTCAATTTAACGTGTAATGAGAAGAAAAGCGCTGTCTAAACATGCCCCTCAAAAAGTGATGATAGTAGTATAAGAAAGTATAGCTCAATTTAATATGTAATGAGAAGAAAAGCGTTGTCTAAACATGCCCCTCAATAAGCGCATCTACGCACGAAGGAAATGTCGTCAGGTTGAACGGACGTGAGGAAAGTCGCGCGTTCCGCTCAGACTTTCACTATCACCGGAATGGCTGTCATGGCACAATGCATGTTCACTGCACCGCCGTGCACAGTAATGTAGTTATCCGTGTCACTGCTCACTGTAACGTATCGTACTCTAGTGCAGTTATCCGTGTCACTGCTCACTGCACCGCCGTGCACGGTAATGCAGTTATCCGTGTCACTGCTCACTGCACCGCATCGTACTCTACTGCAGTCATCCGTGTCATTGCTCACTGCCTCGCTACGCACGCTATTGCAATTATCCATGTCACTGCTCACTGCACCGCCGTGCACAGTAATGTAGTTATTCGTGTCACTGCTCACTGCACCTCCGTGCACGGTACGTAATGCAGTTATTCATGTCACTGCTCACTGCAACGTATCGTACTCTAGTGCAGTTATCCGTGTCACTGCTCACTGCAACGTATCATACTCTACTGCAGTCATCCGTGTCACTGCTCACTGCACCGCCGTGCACGGTAATGCAGTTATCCGTGTCACTGCTCACTGCACCGCCGTGCACGCTAATGCAGTTATCCGTGTCACTGCTCACTGTACCGATGCGCACGCTGATGCAGTAATTCGTGTCACTGCTCACTGCACCACAGTGCTCGCTGATGCAGTTATCCATGTCACTGCTCACTGCCTCGCTACGCACGCTATTGCAATTATCCATGTCACTGCTCAGTGCGCCGTTACGTACGCTATTGCGGTTATCTATGTAAAGGCTGTAATCAATAAAATAGGTATGTTCAACAGAGAGATTGGATGTGAAGTAATTGCGTAACTTATGTAAGGAACAGCTGAGTTGCGACTTCTAGGCTTCAGTTCATACCGATTCAGTTCTCTATGTTGGTTATGTGATGTTGTTATGTGGGTTATTTAATGTACCTGAAATACTATCTAGTAATATCTCCTGATCTTGGATTAATTCCTTATATAAACGTTGAATTTCTAATTAATACACTGAAAATTGCATAGTTCATGTATAATAATATTCAGGGATGTTCTAAATGAGCCAATTTAATATATTCCTATTTATTTAAATGTAAATTCAAAATGAAAAATTTATACACCAGTGAAAAGAGAAAGATTACATTTTTAACCTATTCAAGCGCGGAATTGGGTGGTGGCTCTATTACACTGGGCGGCTGCTCCACACGCTGCAGCGTATGAAGCAGCCGCGAAAGAATTGGACGGCGGCCCTACACTTCTGGCCACCGAGATCACCTGATCTCACCCCATGTGACTATTTCTTATGGGGTTACGTCAAGGAAGCTGTTTACGACCCGCCTCTACCAGCAACTCTGTTTACGTCCCGCCTCTACCAGCAACTCTGTTTACGTCCCGCCTCTACCAGCAACTCTGTTTACGTCCCGCCTCTATCAGCAACTCTGTTTACGTCCCACCTCTACCAGCAACTTAATTTTGAATTCATATCAAAATATATACGAATTTATTAAATTGATTATATCATTAAGAATAACCCATTATAATGTGGAATTACGTATGAAGCATACTAATGTATAGGAAGTTGAAATAACATCAAATTTGACACAGAGACACTTTGATAATGATGATTAAAATTTCGTAAATATTTGAAATACAATAAATTATTATACAAAGTTTCACCACTGGTCACGTATGACCTCGAATTATAGCTGTGGATATTTAAACAAACAAACCGAGAATGATATTGGAATGTTTAAAAATATTTTTAAGATGTTTCAGGTGGGCATGATTGTTTAAAATAATTTTGGTAAATTGATGTTTGAAAAGCTATTATACCGTCTTATGGAATAAGGTCCGTCTTACGGGAAGAGGTCCGTCTTACGGGATGAGGTCCGTCTTACGGGATGAGGTCCGTCTTACGGGATGAGGACCGTCTTACGGGATGAGGTCCGTCTTACGGGATGAGGACCGTCTTACGGGATGAAGACCGTCTTACGGGATGAAGATTTAATGTAATGCAGTTAATGGTACATGTACGTTGGCTAGTAATTACGGTTACAGTGCAAGTACGGTTTCACAGTACGACGATACACGTACGGTCTTATTTTGATTTTTTCCGAAAAAACTCTGATCATTCGGTACAAATTTGAACTTGTAACTTGACTAAAAGTTTATTATTATTAGCGATTGTTTCTGCCTTTTTCTTACGTCTCAGTGATTTTGCTGATGCCGAAGTCGGCGGAAATTTCAAAGAAGTGACCTTCCATCATTTAAATTTAATAGTCACCTCACCTGTATGAACGTATTTGATTCTTTATGCTCTTGAATGGTAATTGTAGAACATTTTCATCAGTTTACTCTGCGTCATTCTATGCATAAATTTAAATTTTATGAACTCGAAATGTACAAATTGGAACACTCACAAACTGTTCCAATAACTTTTCTAAACAAATTGCAAAAAGTGGTCGTATCAAAATTACCAATCTTTGACTGAAGCCTTTCAAAATCTGCCATTTTGATGCCTGTATTGTTTTTATCCTTTTTAGCATTGGAACATCCTTCGACCTCTCCTTTTTCTCCCCACCCCATCCTCCCCACCCTGTGTTGAAGAGTATATAAGGCACAGGTGCGCTCACTCTGCTCAGTGTGTAGTGTGAAGCCTTCAGTTCAGGCAGTCTAGTGGTGCAGCTCAGGGGGTGTGTTCTACACGACGCTCTCTCTTCTTACAGTTTAGAAGTGAAAAAATAAGGTAGGAGTATTTTAAAGTTACGCACGGCTTGTAGGCGATTACTTCTCCGTAGAATCTCCTAAGTTTATTCTATCCTTGAATTAATTAGTTATGCATTGCATCATTTTGTGCTAATAGGCTAATTAGATGTGTAATAGGCAGAATCAGAACTTGGGACGAATGCTAACATTATTGATCAGCTATTTGGTTAGGATTTCATATCTCCGTCCCTAATTAATGGCGACGGCTGATTTGTGAATGAAAAGGCGTGACTGTGAACCGTCTTCAAACGGAGAATATTCGCATAGTGTAATTTAATGCTTATTTGAACTAATATTTGCAAGTTTAAGGTTTCGATGTTCTACCGTCGGCAAGTCTGGTATTTGGTAAAAGTTGCCCAGCTGTAATTTTTGAAGCACAAAGCCCCTAAAACACGAATTTATTTGCTTCCTGTAGTGTACATAAAGAGTAGAGGACATCGTGGTGGAATACAGAAGGTATAGCCTAACTGCTTATTCATTATATTGCTACTGTTTATGGGCCACATCTTGCCAGAAATGACAACCTGGTTGTTTCTTCAAAGGTATAAGGAATCCTTGAAGGATTTGGGTAATGGAAAAATAATGAATGATGACTAATTTTCATTAATTTCATCACAATTATTCTATTTGTGTCGAACTGGTGCTTCCCTGGCCATCTCTGCAATGCAGCTACCTATAGGATAGGGTTAAGCTCACCAGTATCAGTATGACATGCATCCGTTTTGTAACATTCCACCCTTCAATTGAGCAACTTTAAGCTATTCCATCAAATCCATTTCCTCTGAGTAACGTCAGTTTCCTGTGGCTGCATTCTCGCAACCAAACTAATCTAACCATCTAACTCTGACATCTGAATGTCATGTCGAGTAATGCATGTGGATCATTTTTTTATTTTTTGCGTCCTAGGCTACGGGAATAAATCTCGGGAGGCTCATCTCATTCAGGCTTTTCGATTATGTAGTGGATATAGCCCCGAAATATTTCCTGACCCAATAACTTTGAAGACGGTTAAGAAGACGATCATTTGAACTCGGTTAACAACGGTTTGAACAAACTCTGCGTCGCACTCTGGTGTCAATATTTTAATCGAAATCAATATAGATTCGTAAAGCTAGAAACGTGAACTAAAATATTATTTGTACGTGTAACCGTCACAGCGTGTCTGATTTTATTTAACACGGGAGGCTCAGCACATTGATCTCTGATAATTATCAGCTTGTTCTTACAGAAAAATGTTAACATTTTTATAGGGTTGAGAGTGGCCAAGGACTGAACGTCCAATTTTATGCTAAATGGAAGTCTCGACTCCAGAGGGACCTCAAGATACCGTAGCCTCTCGGTGCACTAAACGCAGTTGAATAGCACTACTGGCTCTCTTGCATGAATATGTGTTGAATGCCCACATCAGGCACATTGCCTATGTGTGCTGCATCCGGCAGTGTGCTTAATACCGCGGCTCTTAGTCTTCCAGGAATGTTAGACTTTCTCGTCGGTTTCTCCGGTGCCGGCATCACTTCTATTGTCAGCCTCGGTCTTGGTACAATTTCTCACCTACCTTCCAATGTTGTTACTGTTGGTAATGGTAGGGAAATCTTGTTGACATTATTAAGGGCTGGGTCTCTCTTGCCTTCTTTGCTACCCTTCCTGTCGTTTTGTGAACCTCTAAATAATGAGACAAGTTACATTATGGCTGCCGTAGGAACGGGTTCCAAATTCTATTTGCACAATATATTCTGCGTTTCTTACGGAAGTGCTTTGTTCATGGTCATTTTCAATTGTATAATTTGGTTGTAATGCACATTCTGATTATGATGTAAAGCTACTTGCGTGCCAGAAGGTCAAAGCGCACTAACTTTCGGGGTTTAGCCCGCGGATGAATTGGCACACGGCTATATGGGGAATCGTCGAACCTCAAACATACCAAGTGCCCAACTTTCTTTGACCTCGGCCCGTCTCAACTGACCAATCGTCCCACGGAAGCTGCTCCCACATTCTGGAGAATTTACCTATTTCGCTTTCCTCCAGGTTGTGTTCTTGCAGGCCGAGACCAGAAACTTGACTTCAAATTTCGGTTTCTTCGGCTTTAGAAGGTTTTCTTTGTAGTCTCTGAAAGCTTTGAGTTCAATAGATCGTATATATAAAGATTGTCAATTTTACAGCACGGGGCATACGTTCATTGATAGTGAAAATGTAATTTTTCGAGACTGCTTCCAAAGAATTTGGACGAAAGTTTTTTTGTCGAATGAGTATTTCCGATTATGCTTCCTCAGCATTCATCTTCACCCCCAGTTGAAGGCGAATAATTACTTCTGAAAATCTCCCTGCAAACCGTTTGCCTGCCTACCCATCTAGGGAATGCTGTAATTGCTCTCGTTATGATGATGGAGAGCCCGAGTTGATAACCTGTTTTCGGGTTCCGTGGTTTCTAACTTTCACCACCAAGCCTAAGATTATCGTTCAGGTTATCTAGGTTATTCCATTCCGGGCTAAGAAGCGACAACGCCCTCACTGGCATGCATTTAGTTGACGGCGGAGCTCCATCTACTTGTTTTATTTCATGCGTCTCGCGCAGACTCCTGTAATTACATTGAAGCGATATTGAAGTAGAGGCAGATGACGTGAAATTCAACAGTTTTTCGATATTGCTTCCCTTTGCCACCCTGTATATCTGCCTAAAACTTTTCTTATAAGCGAATGTTTGATGTAATTTTTATTTATAATTGTAACAAGTTAGTAATTTGTGATATTTCTTCTCCACTCGATTTCTGTGTATCAATTTTGTAAGCTCACTGAAAATAAGCCAACTGTGTTTTATCTTCAGTTACTTTGCACTAGAAGCATAAAGTTAGCAATCATCCAAATCTCTGTTCGCGGGATGCGAAGACCCGACAACCGCAAATTGTTGACTTGAGTTTATCAGATAGCGTTCATGGAAAGTGGGTTGCGGCTGCATGGACGAAAGTATTGGTCCATGCAAAGGGACCAAATTATTGGTCTGTTTTCCGACAAATGATAGGAAATTTAAATGGTGAGAAAATGTGCCCTGGAAAAAAAATCCGGTTTGAGATACTTTCGGTAACTAGTTTCAGTGGATAATGGTGATGCATTCTAAAGAATTGCACGTTCGCTGAGTCGCTCAAAGAGAAATTAATTCCCAAGATGGTTAATGTGAATCATAACCCTAGTCATCATTTTTAATTTGTTCATAAAGATGCAAGATGAAATTTTTTTATGTAAATGACAAAGATCAAGATCGCCTAGTCTTGGGAAGCCGAATAATTTTCTCGTTAAATGGCAAATAGAAATTCATTATATATTCACTATTTTTAATCGTTGTTGATAGTTAATGCCTACTGCACAAAGTGGTCGTGCGATTATTAATGGCCAGTTGACTAGAGTTCTATTAGCGGGGTCTTCGGCGAGTGGGCAAGGGAACTACAATGCATCTCGTGTAGTTATCTCAAACTTACCACTTCTCTTAACTAGCGATAAATGCGAAATTCACCTAACAATATTTGAGTTTGATGCCAGGAGTTTAGGCACTAATGGCCTCATTTTCACCCTTCGTTTCACCCCATCCAGTTAAAAGTTTCGAGATCACTTTATTGGCTCATTTGTGTATGGATTCTTAGATCTTTCACCTCAAGATCATTGTCAGCCTGAGCCTAAGACTGCACAAGTTTCATAGCCTCGAGTTCATAGTGTCCACAGAATCCATTCCATTGCGGGAACCATTGTCTTGAGGCGTTCGGCGAGCTTGCCAATTGCATTTACTTCTTGAGTAAGAAACTTCTTTGTGGGATGGTAGGTGCGGTTGGTGATTGCCTCAGTGGCGATATCCGCAAACGAAAAATTAGTCATTGTGAATGAAGTAACAAGTTGGACGAGAACCATCGCGGGCGTGTGGGTTAATTTTATAGTACTGGCGCCACTGAATATCGGCCAGCTTCACCGGATGCAATGGCCGACTTTCAGAACAATGCGTAATGCATTTTTCATCTATTTCATCCAAGCTTTGGATTGAAAATGCCTTTGCTGTTTTAAATCAATGAAGGCTATTGAAGAACTGAACTGAAGGATAAATTTACCAATCGAGCGATTATTCGAAACTAATAATTAGTAGCGTTCTCGTTGAGCAATGACTCGATCCAAAAAATTTTCCCACTTGTTGATTTTAGGAACCACTTGAACACGTTGCATGGTCTTTTTACCTGACAAATTCCGCAATTTACTTTTCTTTAATTGTGTTTGTCAAGAAAAATTAATAATGGCAGTACTACCTCTGTGAATTTTAAAAAGTACGGAAAGAAGGAAAATTTAATTCTTTGATCCAAAAATACAAAATTACTAGTAAATTATGAATTATAGACCTTTTTATACGCGGTCCTAGCCGTTTTTAGGCCGTCGGCCAGCGCTGGTGGGTCGGGTCGTGTTGATGAAATTTCATAAATAGTTCGTAAAGTCGAAACGAATGCATCAATTGTAGCTGCTCTAAACTTCCGTATATCTCGTTAACAGATTTATTTTTACCTCCACGCTTCCATCTAACGCTGAATCACGCTTGTGAACAGGAAGTTAGTTTACGATACAATTTTACGTCACGAATTATAGCGTAGAATCTGTTTCTAGGTGAAATTCGTTGGCGTTTATCGACTGTTCAGTTGTGGTTTTTGCGCAAGCGAGCGTGATCTAGGTAGTCGTTTTACTGTACAGTGAATAAAAAGAACTTATAAAATGCAAAGTTTTGTTTTCCTATCGAGCTTTTATATTCCAGTAATTTTGTTGTGCGGTCTGAAGTAAAAGCGCGAGTTGTAAGGCTGCGTGTCTTACTTTGGCTGTGCAGTCTAAATCTTTTTCTATATCGATGTGAAACTGCGAAAAATGGTATACTCGCTTTTTAGATTTAGTTTTGGGGACAAGGGAAACGTAGATTACATTTATATTGAATCGTCGCTTAGAAGTTCTAGCTTCCAAGTTAGTCCCATTTATCTCAAGGCAACAAATGTTGTGAAACTTGCAAGTTCTCACTTATTTACAACAAACATGATTTTTTTTTTTTTTTTGCAGATCCAATGAAGCTCATGAGTGCCGTGGCACTGCTTGTGGTAGCATTCGCTGCCCTTGCGACAGCCCAAAGACAACTTATTCGTCCTGAGGCCGAGGCCTGCGCCAACCGCCTCAAGCATGCGTCGACTTTCCGTAACGGCCACTACTACTTCTTCTCCTGGACCCATGGGCCCACCCGTGACCATGAGAGGGACTGGCTTGATGCCCGCAACATTTGCAGGTAACTGGAGGAATGCCATTTGATCAGTGGAAATTATTTCGGACAGTCCTTCAAATTCTTTGTGGATTCAATGTATAAATAAATGTATAATAATTTTCCTTGAATCGTGTGCAATATGATTTCCACTTAATATAGAGGCAATGGTTGAAATAGTGTGCGCGAGCTAAACTTCGTTACTGTGTTCGATGGAATGGTTGTGAATAAAGTTAACGAACTCTCTGCTCAATAGAGTACTCCTAAATAAGTTGGTATTATGATCCTGGCGAATTGAATGTAAGCATTCGTATCCAGTGTAAAATTGAACGCATAGTCCTAATGTTTTGTTTGATCCTTTGAATGTTAGCGTATCACGAAATACTGAAAGTTGGGAATGCCGTTAGTGACGTCAAGACATAGTTGCATAGACGCAATGCAGGTGCACTGCAGCTCGGGTCAAACGTACCGTTACTGCTCAACCTTCCTTGCGGCCTCCACGCGCGCACCATTCAGGAGAAAACCGTTCCGACGTAACCTGAATACTGCCACTGAAGTTGCCTCTTCTTTTGGCACTTTCTACCGTTTCATCTCAGTAACGTAAATCTGAATAGATTTAAGTGTAGTTGACTCCTCTTCAAAGTTAGTTCCATCAGTTTTCTCGTGTGAATATTTAACTACTTCGGGTCTGAATATTGGTTTCCTGGAATGTCAGATATGTCTAAACTATGAATTTAATGTGCACAACTGATTAAATCAGTGAAAAAGCCATGTAGCGGTTGCCTAGTGAACTTGTGAAATAGCAACTTCTCCAAGAATTATAGTATCGTCTATCATCTTCTCTGTAACTCTTGAAATACCACAATAAGAAATACCTTAATGCGCTAATCTCATGCCCATAGAATTTGAGGCTGTCGACTAGCACTGACAGTTTATAAAACTCGTTCCTACTTCTATTCTCCCTCAAGTGAGAAAAATATTTGATATCATACTTCGAACCGTCCATTATCTGCAAATTTGCAATTCTGATGTCCACGCTTAACCTTCATTCTATAGCAAAAAGTTCGGCATAGTAGGCGCATTCCCTGTCGAAGCGCAACCGTTATTCCGGCACTGGGACATGTGCCCATTTTGGCAACCACGTACGACTTCAGTTCATCGTAGAGTGCGAAGTGGGTCGAGTTGGCCACGAGTGAGAGGCCCACACTCCCATACTTACCTTGTGCAATTTGTATTTGTGCTTTAGCCCTATAGAGAAATAGCACAGTAAAGTATCGTCGGCGTTGAAGAATAGACCTGCACAGATTGGAAATGGCTAGACTGGAAGGTTAGTTTGACGCAAACGTCGGGTTACGTCTATGTATTGGACCATGCATAATGTTAACAAAGGATTCAACTCTATAACGAGTACGCATGCAGTAGTAATTTTGTTGTCTCGAAGGCACAAATGTAGGTTTGGTTTCACGTTTTAGATTTTTCGGAACGAGAATTAGTATGAATTTCTGACAGGGTAGGTAATTTTAAATTTTGGCATTCGTAGACGGTGAATTAAATCTTTCGTTGGAGATTTCTTAAGCAATTTGAATTAAAACTATTATTTATAGGAAAGTTATTGTTGAACTTGGTTTCTTGAAGTAAGAGATTTCCTCAATTGAAAAAATTGAAAGAGATGCAAAAATAAAATGTAAGATAATACGTGCTGATAGTATAGTTCATTGGAACTGAAATTTTCTTAACGATGGAGTAAAGAAAGGCCTGTTTTAAGAATTCTATTGAGTTCTGAACCATACCCGCCACGTCTAGCTGACTTGATTTGTGCAGAAAATTGAAGTTTTCTTTCTTCCTACAGGAAACATTGTCAGGATCTGGTGAGCCTCGAGACCCAAGATGAGGCTAACTTCGTCTACGAGCAGATCAGACTTGGCAACGTAAAGTACATCTGGACCTCAGGGCGCAAGTGCAACTTCGACGGCTGCGATCGCCCTGACTTGCAGCCTCCCATCGTGAACGGTTGGTTCTGGTCTGGCTCCAGCGCCCGTATCCCAGCTACCAACTCCACTTTCGGATGGCGCGGGGACTGGTCCCACTCAGGAGGCGGTGGTGCTCCCCAGCCCGACAACCGCGAGTTCTCTGAAACCCGCACCGATGAGGCTTGCATTGCCATCCTCAACAACTTCTACAACGACGGCATCAAGTGGCATGACGTTGCTTGCCATCATGTCAAGCCTTGGGTGTGCGAAGACTCTGAGGAACTTCTCACTTTCGCTCGTTTCAACTTCCCGCAAGCGAACATCCAGTAACGCCGTTCCCTTCACTGTTTTTGTTTCGACGACTTTGGCGGATTATTGTTTATGTCCGAAGCCTTAGCGAAAATGTCGCCCTCATAACCTAGGGCATTTGAAGTCTAACGGTAGTTATAATGTAGAACTAAATCTTGATCACAGTTCAAACTTAGAACCATCCTAGAGTTTAATCACCGCGCATAAAATTGCATTTATTACTTCATTCATTCGAAGTTTACATATTCTGATCCCAATCTTATCGATGTTAATTGATATAATTTATGTTCGCATGTTGTTACTTACCTTCATATTTATTTGTCCATGCATAAAAACTTTGTTGTAAATAGCCGTTTCACGAGCTGTTTGCATAATCTGTAAACGTGCGCAATAGATATTATAAGTGGAATTTATAAATGGAATTTTTTTCTCCCTTCTTGACTGGTACATATAGACTTCTTTTCATAATGGAGATGGCTCATGTCCAACCAGATTATTAACTATAGGAACGTGGAGTTGGAAAGTAGGGGCAAGAATTAACTGCGATAAATTTACAGGCTGATCTCGCTAATTCAAGAGGTTCTGTTCATCGTAATTAAACCCAAACTGATTTCATTGAAATGCAAACTATAGTGGCTAGTGAAAACTTTATCCCTGTTAGGGGACTTTCAGTCCTCATTAAGATGAAATGCACATCACTGAGAGTATGTCTCGTTATCATGCTTAGTAAATTCTTAAGCTTAGCAATTTGGGAAATCCCTTGAACAACATTTCGACATTCCTTACCTAATTACACGTGGATTGAAGCGTAACTGCTTGAAAATTTTCATGTTGCATAGCAAGCCAAGACTAACATACGTCGGCGCACTACCTACGATCGTTAACAGTTGCAACACAAACGTCTCCGTTGCCCATGGCTGTGCCATGCATGCATCAAAGCTCGCCAGCTGGTTGCACGAGCCGGCACGACCGAAGTTGCGTTTTCGTTTTACGTCTATCCTGAACATGCCATTACTCGTAATCTGGACACCCCATTACCGTAAAATCATAACAGAAAATAAAGTTCTCACAACGATCGTTATAGGAATTGCACAAGGACATTTTAATTACAAGCAGATCACACTTTCTTCTCGCTTCGAGTCACCGACATGTGGAACAGCCTCCCTGATAGCATCGTTGAAGCTCCGAGTATGAACATCTTCAAAAACAGACTAGACGAAGCTATGCAGGAGCATATGTTCAGTCTTAAAATGCCTAGCAAATTACGGACCAGGCAATAAGTCCAGCAGCTATCTCAATCAATCGTCAGCTATGGAAAGATCGGGTTCCAAAGGCCGGATCTCTTGTGAATCAAGTCACGAAAAGTTCAAGAATCGGCAACAGGCCATGGGCCTATTTCTTCAACGCCGACACTTCTATTCTATTCTATTCTACACAAATACCTACCAATTCGTCCGTGAACCCTCGAAGAGAGCAATGGACCTAATAAGTTGAAAATTTGTTCAAGATTTGATTTCGTTCAAATTAGGTCATGACCGTTTTGCGACGAATAGCAGCATGGTACTGTTTCTTTATCGAATAATATTTTATGTGTTGATATATTTAATGGTGTCAGCAGCTTTTTCGGTCACACGTTTCAACCATCTAAAAATTGAATACGAAATTCTCAGGTATGCAAAGGGGATAGGCAATTTTAAAAGCATATGGACAAATGAACATTTCTAAATTCATTGAATTTAAAATTAAGAATAAAAAATAAAACTATGATAAATTTTATATATCCGTGAAGCCGATATTGGCGGAAAATTTTATCAGCTGTTACTGTCGCCGCAGTCATATGGGAATGTTTACAAAACTGCGGTGCCATGTCAGGCGAGTTCAGCGAGTTTCGCAAGAGGACTGACGATTGTGAGTTTGTGGTGAGCGGACGTGTGAGCTCCGCAGTGACAAAACCTGCCGGTTCTAAAACCATATTTTATGAAATGACATGTTTGCGAAGTGCAAACCGCGATTTTTTAATCAAACAAAAATTTATGACATTCAAGCCGCGAGATTTCATACCTACTGAAATTATATGATATTAGAGCCGCGATATTTCAGACAAAAATAGGACTTTTCCAGACTAACAGTGTGTACTGTGTAGTACTAGTAACTTAGTAAGTAGGCTAGGCTATCTTGGATACCTCATACCATTACCAGATACCAGCACTGTCATACATAATAAATTGATTAAAATAGGTACTGAGTAGGCTAGATGAGGAAATTAAAAATGAACTGATTCTAAAAAATCTCTGGTTTGGCCAGGTTTGTCACTATGATTGCTGAGTTCCCTCAAAATCTAAGGACTTACATTTTCTGTGTTTTTTATTTTATTTTGTAAGAAAAATTATTAAAAATCAATAGAAAAAATACTCAATGGCTTTCGCTGACATGGTGTTTTTGATGAGCCCATTTTGAACTTTTATAAAATGAACATAGATGAACAATTATTTATAATGATTTCTTAAATTGAATATGTATTTATAGATCATTATGTGCATTAATTGAACTGTTTTTGAGCTTACTTTGGAGCTAGGGAAAAGACCCATCTTGCGTTCCATGGTCACCAGGGCGCAGAAGATGGAAGCAGCGTCGCCAATATATGGGTTTTTAAGCCCAAAGCATTGCCGACCATTTTTAAGATGCGTCGCCAGGTAATTTTTAATGAAAAGCCATTTACGCTGAGTAATGAAGAACTATTTACAAGCCACTAACTTATTTACAAGGTTGCATGCACATGTTACCCCAAATAACTAATTTTACCCTAAAAACAGTCCGATTGTACAGCGAGTGTCAACTGAACATGTAATAAAGCAGTCTGACCGCTCTAATGTGACCAAAACTACGTACGCAATCGAAAAAATGTTGTTTGCATTTTTTTGCGGGAACTCATTGCAACTGATTTCCGGACAAGCTTTGCTGCATCGTAATCCATCCAACGTACCTGAAACATTACTTTTTTTCTAAATAGTTGGCCGAAGACTGAGAAATATATTAAATGCAAGAATTTCAATCTAAATGTGTTGGCAAGATCTTCTGAAGGCGAAAATTTAGCTACTGAAGCGTCGCCAAAGATCTTGCAATATTCATCCACTCTCTGCACAGTGGCATGGTCAGGAAGATGTGCCGGATGCATGGGAGTTTTTATTGTAATTTTATCAATTTGCGCCATGCCCCATAATTGGTAACAAAATGGCGCCATGCACCGTGCTCCTAAAGATGTTTAAAGACAAATGTGTGGCAATGCTATCACACACAAACAAATATCTGCATCAAGTTGACTAGATTTCTAATGTGTTAACTCAGGTTCTAAGAGTTGGCACAGTTATGAATATTTATTCATTATCCATAGATCACAATTTGGTTGGAAATGAATTACAAAACTGAATAATAGAACTTAGAAGGCAACAATCCACATAGCTTGAGATTGGTGCCTTCTAATGAAGGACTGATTTTGGCAAATAGTACAAACCTGTATGTCAATGTTGGGAATACGTTATGTTCTGACATCCTCCTGGCTGGTGGAATGGGTTTGTGCAGTGCAAATCTATTGAATACAAAAATACAGGCACTGCAATTTTTTTAATTATCAGTTCTCATTTTTTGCAACTTTAAAAGTTAATTATGTAGAGGAACAACAAATATTAATAAAATATGAATAGCTTCAAGAGACAGATCACATGACACATGACAATTTATCAGCATTGCATAAAAGTCTGTAAAGATGATATTGCCATACCATTATGTTAGGAATTTCTGATGACAGTTATGTCTAGACATATTTTATTTACAAAAGATTTGAAACTATTTCTGACTCCTTTCATTAACCGTAGAACCTTTAATAACCCTGTCAGCGCACTAATAATATATTTAGAACAAGCAAAATCTGTCATTTAACACTAATATTTGTTTACTTTATATGCCCAATTACTGAGGACTTGGTTCTTCACCACTTGCCTCACGTCTGGACAGAATATTGCCTCATGTCCAGACAGTCTACAGAAGGTAAACAAACAATGTTCCCATAAGAAATTTGTAGAAAATCTCTTATAAAATAAATTTCTAGATTTTTCCTATCATAAAATTTTCATATCAAGGAAAATCATAGATTATTGATGGATAATTAAACACATATTGAGTATTGTAAGTTTTCTGTCTCATGTCCCTTGACAAAATGTACCTGCGCGCACGCTTGCACACGCGAGCAGGGATGGCCAGAAGTTGCGCCAACTGCGCGCAACAATGGCTTAAAAAAGTCCCCGAAAACATACATCATCCTGAGTGTGGCTTACTTAGCCAATGTCATGATATCGTCATCTATTTGAATGCTTTATTTTTTGCATTAGGCCCTTTTACATTTGATAAAATGTCTAATTTATAACATTATTGACAAATTTTTATTTGAGAACATGAAGTATAAATTTCATTATTTGTGTTAATTGTAATGTGTTAATTGCAATTGGACTCATTTTAAAGCCAAAAACCAAGTTTATTTAATAAAGCAGATACCATGGATGTACATGCTGTACTTTTTTTCCACAAGGCTGTAATGAACTTTTATCAAATAACCATTCTATTTAAATAAATATATTAGAAAAATCATATAGGTATATTGGTTATTATTTGCATTAAATTGGAAAAGACTAAGTTGAAGATGTGTGATGGTACTCACAATTTATACAAGTAATTGATAATAGAAAAGCTGGGGCCACAGTATCATTCAAATTTTTAAGCATTTCCTTTTTTTCAACATTTAATTTATTTGGCTTCCCCTGAACAATTAAAATTTCCATAATAAGCCATCTTGAAAATCTATTTCCTCCTATGATTTTCAAGCTACAGTACCAGTATTGAGAGACGTATCATTCATTTATTAAGGCCATATCTAGTGATTCTAGGTGCTATTTCTCATGAATTTTACTTGGTTGGGTTTATATATTGGAGAAACTAGAAAGAGGGGTGAAAAATAGGGGAATGGAAAAAGTTGTATAAGAAAGTAATGAAATAAAAAAATGGCTTCTTTTGCCAATTGATATTCTTGTTATGAATCAAATGATATATATACCCTTGATGTTTTAGCATGTCGATTGAAGGAGATTTATAATGGACCCTATTTTTTGCAGCTTTCTATGCATTTCACATTTTTTTCAATTATTTATATATGTGCATGAAGTGGAAGATTGAACAGTCTTATAGTTTAGGAGATATATCTGAAGGGAGACCCCCCCTTTAAGCAAGATTTCTCAGTTTCCTTTTTTTTATCTTATCCCTTGTAGGCTAGTACAACTACAGAGCTGCATCAGGATTTGCTTCTTTCAATTAGAAGCTACGCTAGGTACTTTTTCTTTTAAGCTATATCATTCACTTAAAAAGAGCCAACATCTGATCCATCATACTGTTGAATTTGGATTTTTGGCTACTGTAAATTGTCAAGTGTCAATGCTTTTAACATTGTCACAGTGACAGTAGTGATCATACTTATGTCACCAGCCTTCAAAATAAACAATTATTTTATTAACAAAACTGAGCCACAACTTTCTAACTTAATCAAAAAATCTTCTTAGACGCTTGGATATTATATGGCAATGGAATCCTTACAAATTGTGTGGCTTGCTTGCTTTCACCAGTCCACTGCAGTCCAGTGGTCATTGGCTGCTGGTGTGTTGAATATAGTGGCTGCAGAGTGGCAACTTGTGTTTCATTGATGGTAGGTAGCTTATTTGACAAGTTTGGTAACTTTCAATAATTTTTTTTAGAATTTTTAGAGGTACATAGATTGGAGAAATAGGCAGATTTTTGCAGATGCCCATTCTGGAAATTGCAAGAAATGTTCTATTTTATTTTGATATGATTGAATTATATGTTGATGTATTTTAACCAAGAATCTAAAAAACAAAGAAAATGCCAAGCAAATTCACTATATCTTTAATGAAAACAATTCAGAGGCCAGCTCCACTATCAGTTGCAAATGGATTTTAATTTTTATGATCCTTATTGAATATGTCAAATTTCAAACCTGCTCCACTTCCTCCACAAACCTGCTTGACAGTATCCTAAAGGCTTTGTATTGATTCAAGAGGATCTATTATCAAATAAACTTAATGAATTTTTATGGAGACAAAATTCTTAAGTTAGCTAAAGTTCTAACTAGTAGGTCAAAGTTGCCAATGTTGCTGCCAGAGATGTACAATGATCTAGATGTACAATTACCATCAATATCAGCTTCTCTTGAGATTGATACTTGGCTGCAATTTTTTTTACTTCATTTTACCAGATCACTGATGCAATGCATCTTAAGTGGTTGCATGCTCAAACTTAGTGAGAATTAAAACGTGATAACTATGGTGCTTACAGAAAGTATTTTGCATTGATATAATTTTGTATTTCTGATTGATACCAAGTCTCTGTTCACTGTCCATGAAAATTCTGTTAATAACACGTTCTCTGTTATTGTCACATAAAGTTTTGTAAGAATTTTCAGTAAATGCTGTCAGAGTTAATCAGGATGTTCTTTAGGGTTGCATTATTTAGGTTCTATCCAGTGATGATTTTTTGATAGAATTTGTTTTTTAGCTGAGATCCTTTGTTTAACTAAGATCCTTTGGAGAGATCAGATCCTCTGGAGAGATCAGATCCTCTGGAGAGATCAGATCCTCTGGAGAGATCAGATCCTTTGAAGGAATCAGATCCTTTGGAGAGATCAGGTCCTTTGGAGAGATCAGATCCTCTGGAGAGATCAGATCCTTTGGAGAGATCAGGTCCTTTGGAGAGATCAGACCCTTTGGAGAGATCAGAGCCTTTGGAGAGATCAGATCCTTTGGAGAGATCAGATCCTTTGGAGAGATCAGATCCTTTGGAGAGATCAGATCCTTTGGAGAGATCAGATCCTTTGGAGAGATCAGATCCTTTGGAGAGATCAGATCCTTTGGAGAGATCAGATCCTTTGGAGAGATCAGATGCCTTGGAGAGATCAGAGCCTTTGGAGAGATCAGATCCTCTGGAAGGATCAGATCTTTTGGAGGTATCTTATCCTTACTCAAGCTTATTATTTCTGGTCATTTCAATAATAAAAGTGAAAACTTTTTGCTTATTGTTCATGGTAGCAACCATTTTTATTTGCTTACACAATCTGAAAATTGTGTAAAACTGAATAAATGTGGATATAAATTTGTAGGACCAAAAATTAGCATTCATCAAATTTCTTATTCTGTTTCAGTTTTTAGTACAAATCAGTCAACTACCAAGTATAATTAAAGATCAATGTTCAGCTCCTTTCTTCTAGTATGTAATTTCTCTGTAATGGTATGTAATTTCTCATGAAAATGACTTCTTCTGAGAATATTCTCTATGAACTACGAAACACTGCCGAGTGGATTGTTCCTCAATCTCCTGAAGTAAGTCTTCATAAATAAGTACGGTATTCGACATAATAACTACGTATATATTCCACTGCTTGTGTATCTCTTAAAGTACATGTGTTTTCTGATTGAAAATTGGTTTCCATCTGTTGGTACTGCAGTGATATTGTATTGTCATCACCCTCAATTGTCTGATTGTTAAAAAAACTCATGTTTTATTTTCTAATAAAAATATCTGCAAATTGATTGTCTAGGTACATTATAGTATATGGTTCCTCTAACATTTTCATGTCTGTTGACTACTGTTTATTTTTTTGTGAATTTGGTGGCAATTTTTGTCCAATGAAAGCATAATTCATTCTTTTGTTGATAAAAATATATATTGAAAGTTTGTAAAGTGAACAATGAGCTTTTGTAAATCTTTATGGGATGCAAGATCTGAAAAATTTCTCAGTGTAATGAACTGTAAAATATTGCTTCAAACAGTAATGCAGAAATAAATTGAGTTAAATTTGTCCTTACAGAATTTCAAGAATGATGCATACATACCTTTTTCTCCACTGTTTTCTTATAAAATTTTGGTAGATGCACAAAATAATTTATATTTACTCTGGTGTTAACATCAGGATATTAGGGGAAGCAAAGTTTTTTTATTGTCTGATTATAAAATCCTGGCACAAAACTATTGAAGTTCATTTAAAGTACTATTCTGAAAAATGAAAATGGTGAATTAGAAGTGTATTGTATGGTGTCGCAAAGTACATGCATAATTGATAGTTTTAAAAAAGAAACATATGATTGTTTTTCATGCAATGAATTCTCATTTAAATAACTTTTGCTTATTGAAAGTATGCAGAATTTCCAATACATGAGGTTATGAGCAGGCACAAGGCAGTGGTGCTGGAACAAATGGACCTAAGGGGAGCCAAACTGCAAGTCTTCACAAGATTTTGTCTACGGCAAAAGGGCTGCTGAGTTTTGCATCACCCTTCACACCCAGGCTCACCTCTCAAATTTCTGAGTCCGACACTTGTTTCCTTTTCAAAATAATAAATAAAAGATTGTCTATAGGGCTGTTCTTTTAAAACTAGCTAAAGTACACATAAATATCTTAGTATGAGACTTGTTTCCTTTTCAAAATAATAAATAAAAGATTGTCTAGGGCTGTTCTTTCAAAACTAGCTAAAGTACTCATAAATATCTAAGTATGAGACTTGTTTACTTTTCAAAATAATAAATAAAAGATTGTCCAGGGCTGTTCTTTCAAAACTAGCTAAAGTACTCATAAATATCTAAGTATGAGACTTGTTTACTTTTCAAAATAATAAATAAAAGATTGTCTATAGGGCTGTTCTTTCAAAACTAGCTATAGTACACATAAATATCTAAGTATGAGACTTGTTTACTTTTAAAAATAATAAATAAAAGATTGTCTAGGGCTGTTCTTTCAAAACTAGCTTAAGTACACATAAGTACTCTTACGTATCAGCTAATTTCTTGTCTGTGGTAGGTAGGTTTTGCTTGAAAAGCCATGAATGATATGCTATGCTAAGTTAGTTAAAAACTAGGTATTAAACTAAGTTAAACTATATTATTAAACTATATTATTAAGTTAGTTACAAACTATTTTTAAGAATTTGGCTTTTTCAGTGTACTGGGCTGCAAATGCTCTTGGAATTTGAACTACTGCGCTGCGGGAGGAGGTGTGGTGGCCATCCTACAGGAGTCTCTCCTAGAAATACGACATGCCAAGCATGACTTCCAGGACATCATCGGCTCTTCTGATGCATGTGAGATACTTTTTATTTTGTCTAACCATCATTATTTGAACTATCATTGGCATCTCATGACTGACAGATGCATGTAAGATACTTTTTATGTTGTCTAACCATCATTATTTGAACTATCATTGGCATCTCATGACTCTGACAGATGCATGTAAGATACTTTCTTTTTTGTACTCATCTTCTGACTAATTATTGGTAATACCTTACATTGGCAATTCGTAACTCTGGCTTTACCTCTGATGGTTAATTATTTTATTTTATCTTTAATGACATTTATTACATTTTTGAAGTGTAATTTTTTATCTTAGCCTGACTTTGATGTTGATTTGGTATTGAAACGATTACTCACAAATTATCTTTGTGTTATAAGATAAATATAATTGAAATATGGTATATAAAAATTAACATTATAATTCATACAAATGAGGCTTTAATGTTTTTTCATTATATTGATGTATTTAATTGTATTACTAAGATTAGACTATACAGCAAAGTGTTTGATAATATTTCCTGAACCACTGAAGCAATCTTAACCTGTATAAATGCCTGCTATGTTTCCTGGCATGAATTAAACTTGATGAAATATGAATGTATCCTGAAATTATCTATTGCCCATGAGAATCTATTTATTTGTATATATGAAAATATATGAATACCTTGAAAATATAAAATCTATATAGGTATAATCTATTTTCAGTATATATATGATGCAAAAATGATGAAGAATGCAATATATATATATAAACTATTTTCAGTATATATATATAGTTTAGACATATTTATTCAATTAAGAACAAATGAATATAATCTATTTTCAGTATATATGGTATATGATGTGAAAATGATGAAAAATAAATTGTGTGGACATTTATTTAATTTCAAAAAACTGAATTTGTTGCAGTGCATCTCGACCCGACCTTATAAGTATAAAATCTATATAGGTATAATCTATTCTTACTATATATATGATGCAAAAATGATGAAGAATAAATTGTATGGACATTAATTTAATTCATTTAAATGACATTTATTTAATTAATTTAATTAAGAAAAACTGAATTTGTTGCAGTGCATCCGGACCAGCACCCCCAGTGGCGGGTGGTGGCGTGGGCAGGCAGTGGCAGTGTGGTGGCAGTGTCGTACAGTGACGGGGTAGTGCAGCTCTTCTCTACCCTAGCACAGCTGCTCTACACTATCTACCCTCCTAGGTACATTAATTTGACTCATTTATCTACCTTTACCTTATTATCTACCAATTTAATTATACTAATTTATCTACCTACCTACCTACCTACCTTATTTATCTACTAATTTAATTTAACTCATTTAACTAACTTAATTTAACTACTTTACTCATTTATCTACCAATTTTATTTATCTACTAATTTATCTACCAATTTATCGACCAATTTAATTTTACTCATTTATCTACCTTTACTCATTTATCTACCAATTTATCAACCTTGTGTTGTCTTATCACAAGTAGAATTGATACAGCTACTGACGATTTCAAACTTTGAAAGTCAAAATTGTTTTTGACAATAGCTGTACGACCTCAATAATTAAAATAAGGTATTATTGCCCATATTGTCACCAGGCTTGCATTTGTAGCCCATCAAATCCAGTCTGCATAAATATTTTATTTTATAATAAGTCATGAAATATTTTATTATCAAATTGATGGTGATAGTATAACATTCAATTCCAAAATGTTTAAATTTGTGATATTTTTCTTTTAATCTAATACTAAAATAGTCTTCTAATATGTCGTTATGTTGAAGAATCTTTTTCTGGTTGCATACAACAATAAATAAAATGATCTATGATGTACAATTATACCGTACATCTATCGAATTGTATAATAAATACTGAAGTATCAATAATAATCATAGTTATGATATAGACACTAAAGTATCTATAATAATCATAGTTATGTTATAGACACTAAAGTATCTATAATAATCATAGTTATGTTATAGCTGTCTCTTATACACATCTAGATGTGTATAAGAGACAGGTTATAGACACTAAAGTATCTATAATAATCATAGTTATGTCTGTCTCTTATACACATCTAGATGTGTATAAGAGACAGATAATAATCATAGTTATGTTATAGACACTAAAGTATCTATAATAATCATAGTTATGTCTGTCTCTTATACACATCTAGATGTGTATAAGAGACAGGTTATAGACACTAAAGTATCTATAATAATCATAGTTATGTTATAGACACTAAAGTATCTATAATAATCATAGTTATGTTATAGACCTGTCTCTTATACACATCTAGATGTGTATAAGAGACAGCTTTAGTGTCTATAACATAACTATGATTATTATAGATACTTTAGTGTCTATAACATAACTATGTTTATTATAGATACTTTAGTGTCTATAACATAACTATGATTATTATAGACACTAAAGCTGTCTCTTATACACATCTAGATGTGTATAAGAGACAGGTTATAGACACTAAAGTATCTATAATACCGTAGTTATGTTATAGACACTAAAGTATCTATAATAATCATAGTCATGTTATAGACACTAAAGTATCTATAATAAACATAGTTATGTTATTCACAACACAGGTACACAGAAGGGGCTGTATATTCCGAGCCTCGTGGCGCTATCGCAGCGCTCGTCATCAATGAAGACAACCTCCCCGGCGATAAGTGGTCAGTGGCTGGCACTTAATATTGACCATTTTCCCTTAAACCTCTTGTAAATGGTAAGATAAGTGGTCAGTGGCTGGCACTTAATATTGACTGATATTNGTAGCGTGTTGTACAGGTGGGGCGTGTAGCGTGTTGTACAGGTGGGGCGTGTAGCGTGTTGTACAGGTGGGGTGTGTAGTGTGTTGTACAGGTGGGGCGTGTAGCGTGTACAGGCTGTCTCTTATACACATCTAGATGTGTATAAGAGACAGCTTGTAAATAGTAAGATAAGTGGTCAGTGGCTGGCACTTGATATTGACTGATATTCCCTGACCCCTCTTGTAAATGGTAAGACAAGTGGTCAGTGGCACGAATTTAATATTGACAGATAATTACACGTTGACTCCGATTGTTTCATCTTGTACTATTATTTCATTTCTTGTGCTATTATTAAACAGGGTTGCCAGACGGTCTTTTTTCCGGACAAATTCCGCAATTTAGTTTTTTTCAATTGCGTTGGCCTACTAAGGTTTACGATAGGGGTGCTTCCTAATTATATTTAAAAAACTGGAAAAATTGAATTTTTACACCGGATCTTATTCCGGACTAACGTATATATATTTTACAACGGGCAAGCATATATTGAGTTATAGGCTTTTTGGTCATTTTTGGCCTTTTTTGGTCGCGCGCTTGGCCGTTTTTTAGTTAATCTCGCAAATCCTGAATTATGTACCACTACGTCCTGAAGACCTGCACTTTGTGGTACGCATATGTACCACTTCAGAGTCAACGTGTTGGGTGTTTCAACCTAGATTTTGGTATGTACTTCCAAATTCGCGACCTGCAATTATACAGGCTTAGTCTAAATGATGGACCAAATTTAATGAATTAGCATTTATTTGAGTTCAAATTCCATATGAATAATTATTACATCAATGTAGAGATTAAAATTGTTTACATAATTATATATATTTAATTTGTCGCCCTTGTGCTGCACGGCAAACCTCTAAAGTCTAAACGGCAGCCAAACTCGTCCCACACGAGAAATCATATCTTCTGTTACTGAGTGCACCGTAGCAGTGATACGGTTCTTCAGAGCAACCAGAGTTGCTGGTAGAGGCGCATGGTAGAGGCGGGACTGGTAGAGGCGGGACGTAAACAGAGTTGCTGGTTGCTGGTAGAGGCGGGACGTAAACAGAGTTGCTGGTAGAGGCGGGACGTAAACAGAGTTGCTGGTAGAGGCGGGACGTAAACAGAGGTGCTGGTAGAGGCGGGACGTAAACAGAGTTGCTGGTAGAGGCGGGACGTAAACAGAGTTGCTGGTAGAGGCGGGACGTAAACAGCTTCCTTCACGTAACCCCATAAGAAATAGTCACATAAGATCAGGTGATCTCGGTGGCCAGGGCCTATACTTTCAAAAAAAAGTTAAGAGATCGTAAGTTCATCAGCCAATCATTGACGGCCTTTCGAGCAAAATCCACCAATCATAGACGAAAAAAATAGAGCTTAATTACTTACCTTCACTTAGCGAATTTTGAAAGTATGGCCCCAGAAGTGTTGAACTCGATCTTCGTTTCCTATGCGTCCTACACAACGCTCAGGAAGTGACTGATTGTCACTTCCTGAAAGGACAAGGGGACAGTATTGAACATTAATAAAAAAAATAAAATTTTAATCTTTTCCTTTCCATTGATGTAAAAAGTATTAGTTTGAAATTCATACTTCGAATACTTTTTACACCTTTGGTGTATAAATTATTCATTTAAAATTTATACGTCGATAAATCCAAATTCGATAAATTGGGTCCGTCATTTAGAATAACCCTGTATTAAAATTGAGAATTATAATCGAGTGTATATTGAATCAGTGAAATCATGCCATTAATTAAAATATTTCCCTGTATAGTGTAGATAATTGTAAAAATTAAAATAGAGTGTGCAAACGTGGTAGGTGATATTTATTAATGAAAAATCATTAAAAACTCATCATGTGTAGGTTGTGAAAAGTGGTGAGTGATGTTTATTAATGAAAAATCATTAAAAACTTATCATGTGCAGGCTGTGCGAGGTGCTGTGCGTAGAGTACAGCGGCGTCGTACGCAGTTACCTCGTGTCAGCGTCTGAAGGCTACCAGACATACGTACGCTGTACGCTGGACAGCTGCTACCAGCACGGCATTACGGCTGCTACCATGTACAGGTGGGGTGTGTAGTGTGTTGTACAGGTGGGGCGTGTAGCGTGTTGTACAGGTGGGGCGTGTAGCGTGTTGTACAGGTGGGGCGTGTAGCGTGTTGTACAGGTGGGGCGTGTAGCGTGTTGTACAGGTGGGGCGTGTAGCGTGTTGTACAGGTGGGGCGTGTAGCGTGTTGTACAGGTGGGGCGTGTAGCGTGTTGTACAGGTGGGGCGTGTAGCGTGTTGTACAGGTGGGGCGTGTAGCGTGTTGTACAGGTGGGGCGTGTAGCGTGTTGTACAGGTGGGGCGTGTAGCGTGTTGTACAGGTGGGGCGTGTAGCGTGTTGTACAGGTGGGGCGTGTAGCGTGTTGTACAGGTGGGGCGTGTAGCGTGTTGTACAGGTGGGGCGTGTAGCGTGTTGTACAGGTGGGGCGTGTAGCGTGTTGTACAGGTGGGGCGTGTAGCGTGTTGTACAGGTGGGGCGTGTAGCGTGTTGTACAGGTGGGGCGTGTAGCGTGTTGTACAGGTGGGGCGTGTAGCGTGTTGTACAGGTGGGGCGTGTAGCGTGTTGTACAGGTGGGGCGTGTAGCGTGTTGTACAGGTGGGGCGTGTAGCGTGTTGTACAGGTGGGGCGTGTAGCGTGTTGTACAGGTGGGGCGTGTAGCGTGTTGTACAGGTGGGGCGTGTAGCGTGTTGTACAGGTGGGGCGTGTAGCGTGTTGTACAGGTGGGGCGTGTAGCGTGTTGTACAGGTGGGGCGNCATCACCTCCAGCAGGTGGGTCATCACCTCCAGCAGGTGGGTCATCACCTCCAGCAGGTGGGTCATCACCTCCAGCAGGTGGGGCATCACCTCCAGCAGGTGGGTCATCACCTCCAGCAGGTGGGTCATCACCTCCAGCAGGTGTGTCATCACCTCCAGCAGGTGGGTCATCACCTCCAGCAAGTGGGTCATCACCTCCAGCAGGTGGGCATCACCTCCAGCAGGTGTGTCATCACCTCCAGCAGGTGTGTCATCACCTCCAGCGGCCCAAGTACACGTAGCGGCCAAGTACACGTAGCGTCCCAAGTACACGTAGCGTCCCAAGTACACGTTGCGGCCCAAGTACACGTAGCGTAATAAGTACACATAGCAGCAGTTATTCCTGATGGTGACAAACGGTGCGCTGGTGTCGAGTTTACCAGCCGTAGCGTCCCAAGTACACGTAGCGGCCCAAGTACACCTAGCGTCCTATGTACACGTAGCGTCCAAGTACCCGTAGCAGCAGTTATTCCTGATGGTGACAAATGGTGCGCAGGTATCGAGTTTACCAGAGGACGACAGCTACGAGCCACCGGCAGTATCCCTGGCGCAGGTTATTTATTTTATTGATTTATTTCATGTATATTCAGTTATTTATTTTATTGATTGTTTATTTTAAACGGTGCACAGGTGTCGAGTCTACCAGAGGACGACAGCTACGAGCCGCCGTCAGTATCCCTGGCGCAGGTTATTTATTTTATTGATTTATTTCATGTATATTCAGTTATTTATTTTATTGATTGTTTATTTTAAACGGTGCACAGGTGTCGAGTCTACCACAGGACGTCAGCTACGAGCCGCCGTCAGTATCCCTGGCGCAGGTTATTTATTTTATTGATTTATTTCATTGATATTCAGTTATTTATTTCATTGATTGTTTATTTTAAATGGTGCGCAGGTGTCGAGTCTATCAGAGGACGACAGCTACGAGCCGCCGTCAGTGTCCCTGGCGCAGCGGCTGTATACGACGCTCGTGCCCCCAGCGACGCCCCTGAGCTGCGCCTTCAGCGTCAGGGTGTCGCCCTGCGGCAAGCATCTCGCCGCCCTGCACCTCTCGGGGGCCGTGTCCGTGTGGCACTTTCCCTCCCTCAGGAAGTCCAAGTAAGTCCTTTGTCCTATTATTAAGTCCTTCGCCTGAGCAATTATCAAGTCCTTCGCCTGACCTATAATCAAGTCCTTCATTTATCATGTTATTAAGTTTTTTTCTCTGTCCTATTATTAAGTCCTTCGCCTGACCTATTATCAGTCCTTCGCCTGAAAAATTATCAAGTCTTTCGTTTATCATGTTATTATCATGTTATTAAATATTTTTTCTGTCCTATTATCAAACTTTTTCTGTGTCCTATTATTAAGTTCTTTGCCTGACCAATTATCAAGTCGTTCGTCTATCATGTTATTAAGTCTTTTCTCCGTCCTATTATTATACCCTTTATCGTATTATTAAGTCGTTTGTTTGTCTCGGACTCAGACTTGATCACTCGAATCTATCCCGCCCTCAAGAAATCCAATAAAGTCCTTAGCTGGTTGGTAGTGACTGCTGGAGGGTAGTGACTGCTGGAGGGTAGTGACTGCTGGAGGGTAGTGGCTGACGATGTTTCAGGTACTGGCTGCTGAAGGACCAGCCTGACGCCGCAGCTCTGAAGTCTTCGGCGCCCTTCAAGCTGCCGACACGTAAGCGCTGCTGGATTATCTGGAATTGATACATTAATAATTATTAATTATTATCATTGAATTGATACATTATTAATGGAGATTATTAAGTGCTAATATGTAAAGCGACTCAGCTGGATTATATATAATTGATGCATTATTAATTATTATCATTGAATTGATACATTATTAATAGAGATAATTTGATGCCAATGTGTAATACGACTCATATGTTTATTATCATTTAAATAATATTGAAATAAATGTGAATAATATTACCTATTGAGTCGGTTATATTATTATTTTCATTTAGCCTGACAAATCTTGTATGATATTAATATGTAAAGCATTTTAAATATTTATTATTATTCTGAATTATATTGTATTTACTCGAATAGTAATGCCATAATATATAATTATATCAGCTTTATTTAACGAAGGAAATATGCCATGACCATGAACTTGGTTATATTATTACTTTCATTTAGCCTGACAAATCTTATGCTAATAATATGTAAAGCGGTTTAAATATTTATTATTATTCTAAATAGTATTGTATTTACTCGAATAATAATTCCATGATATATAATTATTTCACTTTTATTTAACGAAGGGTATTATTGTATTTACTGGAATAGTAAGCCATGATATATTGTTATATCAGCTTTTATCTAACGAAGGGTATTATGTGCCTATGAGATATTGTGTGCCCTCAGAGGGTAATAATAATATAGAGGGTAATATATTGTGTGCCCTCAGAGGGCAGCAGAGGCAGGGAGCTGCGGCCTGAGTTGCCAGTGGGGGTGGAGTGGTGGTGTCGCCACGACGCTCCTCACCACACTCCTGGTGGGGGACTAGCTATTGCCTCTCATTGTGTCTGTAGTGTAGGCTCATTAGGTCTGTATATTATGTATCATTAGGTCTTTAGTGTAGNGCTAACATATTGCCCCTCATGTCTGTAGTGTAGGCTCATTAAGCTAACATATTGCCCCTCATGTCTGTAGTGTAGGCTCATTAAGCCCAAGATTTTGCCTCTCATTATGTCTGTAGTGTAGGCTCATTAGGCCCAAACTATTGCCTCTCATTAAGTATATTATAAGCCCATTAAGCCCAACTTATTGCTTCTCATTAAGCATCAGGTTCAACAAGAGTTCACTGAAAGTTTAATAGCAACTAGACGGTTATGTTAATTCGCCATATCTTCATTGAATATGAACCCAAGCTGTTGTCTCTCATTAAACCGATAGCTAAGTAAGAGTTCACTTAAAGTTTAAAAGCAACTAGAAGTTCAAGCTAATTCACCATTTATTCATCTTTGATGGATACATGGTGGCGTTTTGATATGTGTTTTTGACCGTAATTTTACTCTGCGCGTTTTTGACATAGCATGAGGTCAACATTTTGAGTTTATATTATATATTATCAATATTTTATGTGTTATATATCCTTGCATCTCCATAATTTTGGTGATGTGAGACTCCCCCATTCATCACCTCCCCCCATTCATCACCCCCTATTCATCACCTCCCCCATTCATCACCTCCCCCCATTCATCACCCCCTATTCATCACCTCCCCCATTCATCACCTCCCCCCATTCATCACCCCCTATTCATCACCTCCCCCATTCATCACCTCCCCCCATTCATCACCCCCTATTCATCACCTCCCCCATTCATCACCTCCCCCCATTCATCACCCCCTATTCATCACCTCCCCCATTCATCACCTCCCCCCATTCATCACCCCCTATTCATCACCTCCCCCATTCATCACCTCCCCCCATTCATCACCCCCTATTCATCACCTCCCCCATTCATCACCTCCCCCCATTCATCACCCCCTATTCATCACCTCCCCCATTCATCACCTCCCCCCATTCATCACCCCCTATTCATCACCTCCCCCATTCATCACCTCCCCCCATTCATCACCCCCTATTCATCACCTCCCCCATTCATCACCTCCCCCCATTCATCACCCCCTATTCATCACNCCGTACGTAACCCCAACCCTGCCGTACGTAACCCCACCCTGCCGTACATAACCCCAACCCTGCCGTACGTAACCCCAACCCTGCTGGACGTAACCCCAACCCTGCAGTACGTAACCCAACCCTGCCGTACGTAACCCCACCCTGCCGTACGTAACCCCAACCCTGCCGAACGTAACCCCAACCCTGCCGTACGTAACACCAACCCTGCCGTATGTAACCCCAACCCTGCCATATGTAACCCCAACCCTGCCATACGTAACCCCAACCCTGCCGTACGTAACCCCAACCCTGCTGTATGTAACCCCAACCTTGCTGTATGTAACCTAAACCCTGCTGTACGTAACCCCAACCCTGCCGTATGTAACCCCAACCCTACCGTACGTAACCCCAACCCTGCCATACGTAACCCTAACCCTGCCATACGTAACCCCAACCCTGCTGTATGTAACCCCAACCTTGTTGTACGTAACCCCAACCCTGCTGTATGTAACCCCAACCCTGCCGTATGTAACCCCAACTCTGCTGTACGTAACCCCAACCCTGCCATACGTAGCCCCAACCCTGCCGTATGTAACCCCAACCCTGCCATATGTAACCCCAACTCTGCTGTACGTAACCCCAACCCTGCCGTACATAGCCCCAACCCTGTCGTATGTAACCCCAACCCTGCCGTATGTAACACCAACCCTGCCGTACGTAACCCCAACCCTGCCATATGTAACCCCAACCCTGCCATACGTAACCCCACCCTGCCATATGTAACCCCAACCCTGCCATACGTAACCCCAACCAGGCAGTCCACAGCCCAACGATTTGTTATGTTTTTAATTAGAGTATAACACTATAGTTAATGACCACAGATCTTTCTAGTATAGCACCTTAATGACTACATATGTTATCATTTCTAGTATAGCACCTTAATGACTACATATGTTATCATTTCTAGTATTGCGCTTTAATGACTACAGAAGTTATTATTTCTAGTATTACGCTTTAATGACTACAGATGTTATTATTTCTAGTATTGCGCTTTAATGACTACAGATGTTATTATATCTAGGATAGCGCTTTAATGACTACATATGTTATTATTTCTAGTATTGCGCTTTAATGACTACATATGTTATTATTTCTAGTATTGCGCTTTAATGACCACAGATGTTATTATTTCTAGTACAGTGCTCTAATTATTTTACTATTGATGTTATTAATTCATAACGTCTTATGACAGGTGAGTGCCCCCTGTGGGGCTCAGTTCCTGTGCCTGGAGTTGGAGCGCAGCCTGGGGCGGCGACAGCGCACCGTCACCGGCACCTTCAGCCACGGCCTTCCACCGGTACGCTACTAATGGGCAGGGCATTACTACCATTATTATATATTTATTTATTATTTCAAATATATTTATTATTATAAATATATTGCAATTTATACTTGACATTTTTGTGTTATGCAGCAAACTAGGTTCGATGGCCGCTGCTTATGCTGTGTACCTGTATAATGTCCACACAGAGCGGTGATGGCCACTGCTGTAGAGCTGTGTACCTGTATAATGTCCACACAGAGCAGTGATGGCCACTGCTGTAGAGCTGTGTACCTGTATAATGTCCACACAGAGCAGTGATGGCCAGTGCTGTAGTGCTGTGTACCTGTATAATGTCTACACAGAGCGGTGAGACTGAAGAGCTACAATGGCAAGGAGGTCCTGAAGGAGGCGCTGAAGAGTTCCCCGAACCTGGAGGTTCTGAGGAAGAGGGCGGCGCCAATAGCGAGGTCGGCGCCCCTGGCGTGGGCGGCGCCCCTGGCGTGCGCCTCATGAGGCGCCTGCTGCTCATGTTCTGGCGCCTTCTTTACTGGCTCACTGACGACCCTAGGTGAAATGAAGTTTGATATTTGCCTTATATTGCCTCATTGGTTTATTAACACGATAAAAGTTAATTAGTTTATGAACCCTAGGTACTAAGTAGCTTTGGTATTTGCCTGATATTGCCTCATTAGTTTATTAACACGATAAAAGTTAATTAGTTGATGAACCCTAGGTACTAAGTAGCTTTGGTATTCGCCTCGTATTGCCTCATTAGTTTATTTCAACGATCTAAGTTAGTTAATGATCAATCATTCCGGGACTCTCTTGCGACGCTAGGTCTCTAGGTTAAAAATTCGGTCTTAATATTTGTTAGTAAATATTGTGGTGAAATTGATAACTGTCATTATAAATTTGTTAACAATCATCGTGGCTTTGTCAGGTTTCTGGTGTTGGAGAGCCACGTGCTGGAGGAGAAAATTCGGTCTTAATATTTGTTAGTAAATATTGTGGTTAAATTGATAACTGTTATTAGTAATTTGTTAACAATTATCTTGGCTATGACAGGTTCTTGGTGTTGGAGAGCCACCTGCTGGAGGAGCGCTACCGCCTCGTGCTCTTCAGGAGCAGTTCGCCTGAACAGCTCTTCTATAACAAAATAAAGGAGCAGGAGTACGGCGAGGCGCTGCTGCTGGCCCACACTTATGGGTGAGTTGTTCTTCTATAACAAAATAAAGGAGCAGGAGTATAGAATACTCATGTCCTAGGGTTTTCGACGACTGCCGAAGTCACGATCGCGAAGGAGGCTTCGCGGAGCATCCCCGACTCCGGGAACGTTACTGTCGTTACCACGACAACAGACAGGCAGCCTGCAGCTTCACCTGGGACCAGAACGTCTCAACAAGCTCGGTGATGTAAACCCTTTTGAACCGATTAAAGTATTATCATTCTCATGTTAGCCCCCCCTTAAATTGCTCTCGCTGGGTTAGCCTCAAGTAACCATGTCGTGCATGTTAGGAGATAATATCTAGCTCGAACGTCAGTCCTGTACTAGAGTGGATTATTTCCTGTCCTTAAGTATATAAGTGTTGAACTGATAAATGTTTGTATCTTTTCCCTTGTCAATTCGTCGCCTAGCTGCCAGCGTGAGAACTTTTCAACGAGCCGACCCTCGTGCTAGAAACCTGACAGTATGTTTAAATTGTTTATTTAAAAACTCTATCGAGAGTTACATACGATTGATGAGACGAAATAACTGGTGGTCTTGAAATAACTATAAATACGGTTGACGCAACCCCTTATATCGATAAACATAGTTTCGGTTGCAATCACTACATCAAGACTAAAAGAAAATTAGAAATAACGTAGAAGTAGGACACAATTCTCTAATCAAGAAGCATTCTCTAATCACGTTCACAGCAATCCCGTAGCATAAATGCTGCAAAATGAAGTAAAATAATCTTGACAGACTATAGACAGCGTTGACAGCCATCTTCATGGTCAGAGTGCACAGCGATAATAGGTCTTGGAAGACATTTTGATTAAATTCATATCTGGGCAGGCTAATCAGCAACCAAAAATGTAAAAGGACTTTTGACTGGGTTGACAAAATTCATTTCTGGGCAGGATAATCAGCAACAAAAGATGTCAACCCAGTCAAAAGGGACTTTTGACTGCGTTGACAACATTTATTTCTGACCAGCCTGATCAGCAATAAAAGATGTCAAAGGGACTTTCGACTGCGTTGACAAAGTTCATTTCTGTTTCTTTCTGTTTCTTCTCTCTCAAGATTTATTTCTCGCCAGCCTGGACAGCGACCTGGTATACCAGGCGCAGTGGTCACACTCGGGCGCAACCCTGGAGAGCATCAGCGACTACCTCAGCAAAGTGCGGGCGCGATCATGGGTACTGAAGCAGTGCTGCGACGTGGTGCCCTCACAGCTCCTGCCTGCCAGGGAGCTGCTGCTCTACGGCCTGCGTGCCACGGGTCTTAAGGTGAGCTGCTGCTCTACGGCCTGCGTGCCACGGGCCTTAAGGTGAGCTGCTGCTCTACGGCCTGCGTGCCACGGGCCTTAAGGTGAGCCGATGCTCTACGGTTTGCCACGTGAAATGTGAAGATTCCAATATTTTTAAAATCAATATCCAGATTCTGACAGGTTAATTATTATAACTTTGAAGTTAATGCCCAGGGCCTATACTTAAAAAAAAGTTAAGAGATCGTAAGTTCATTAGCTAATCATAGACGGTCTTTCAAGCCACATCCACCAATCGTAGACAAGAAAATAGAGCGTAAGTACTTACGTTCACTTAACGAGTTTTGAGTGTATGGCCCCAGTTCCTGAAAAGTTGATTCTAATAACTTTGACATAATTGCTCAGGTTGTGCAGCGCCTCGGTGCCTGTGAGGAAACAAACTCGTGGCAGTGCGAGGTGACGCTCTATGACTGCGAGGACGAGGACCAGCGGTACGACCTCCTACAGGAGGAACAGCGCCTTCGCCAGCAGGTGAACTTGTCGTGTTTCTTAGTGATTCCCCTTACGCTGGGCCGCTCACCTTTACACTGGGCCGTTACTCTTTTCACTGGGCCGTTACTCTTTTCACTGGGCCGTTCTTCTTCATGCTGGGCCGTTCACCACTTGACTAGGCAGTTGACCACTAAACTTGGGCAATTTGACGTAACGATTTTGTTTGCATGCGAAGTACATTGAATATTATTGTAACAAGTTATTTTATAGGTTAATTGTATAGTTTATTATATTATTGTTACCTATTATTACTTTTTCTATTTTTCCCTTGATTCCCTAGATTGACTGGGAGGATTTAAATCGAGCGCAGCTGCAGCTGGTCAGGACCCGCCAGCTGCTGCTCAGATACTTCGACAGACTCCTTACATATGAGGTGAGATACCCCCATGGGGGCACTTCAGTGTTGGGGGCACTCTTGTGGCAGCTACATGTGTCGGGGCACTCTAGTGTTTGGGCCACTCTAGTGGTGGGGCACTCTAGTGTTGGGGCACTCTAGTGGTGGGGCACTCTAGTGGTGGGGGCACTCTAGTGCTGGGGGCACTCTAGTGGTGGGGGCACTATAGTGGTGGGGGCACTCTAGTGGTGGGGGCACTCTAGTGGTGCTGCACTAGAAAGAAATATGAATAAATAAGAAATAGGAATAAAGAAAATAATATGAATAATAATATGAATATCAATTAGAAAGCGATATTCATATTATTAGTTTTATTTCACGTTGCATGTTGAAATATTTAAAGCTCCACAATCTTTAAATTACACATGAGAAAGCAGTATTCGTATTATTACTGTTATTTCACGTTGCAGATTTAAAATATAGAAAGCTCCACAATCTTTACTTATGAGATTGTGAAATTTACATACTCCACAATCTTTAAAATTACATATGAGAAAGCGATATTCGTATTATCACTATTATTTCACGTTGCACGTTTAAAATATTTAAAACTAAACAATCTACCTTAACATTGCACTTGTTATTTGCTTATGTTGAATTTGCATATTGTTATTTGCTTATTGTTATTTGCTTATTGTAAATTGGCTTATGTTATTTGCTTATTGTTATTTGCTTATTGTTATTTGCCTATTGTAAAGTTCTTATTGTAAATTGCTTATTGTAAATTTGCTTATTGTTATTTGCTTATTGTAAATTTGCTTATTGTAAATTATTTATTGTTATTTGCTTATTCTAAATAACCTGCAGGCGCTGCTGGGGGGCGGTCACCTGGCGCTGGAGAGGTACACGCCGGAGGGCTACTTGTCCCTGAGGACACAGAGCGCCGTGGCCGCGTGCCAGCAGTTTGCTAGGGCCGGTGACGTGGACGCCGTGGCTGTGATGTGGACCTATCATGGTCCTGATACGCTGCCTCACCGCCTCGCACTGCTATCTAATCTGCCTCCCACACTACGGCCTTATGAGTACAAGTGAGGCGTGTGTGGGGTGTGAGTACAAGTGAGGCGTGAGTGGGGTGTGAGGCATGAGTGAATGTGTGGGGTGTGAGTACAAGTGAGGCATGAGGGAATGTGTGGGGTGTGAGTACAAGTGAGGCATGAGTGGGGTGTGAGTACAAGTGAGGCGTGTGTGAATGTGTGGGGTGTGAGTACAAGTGAGGCATGTGTGGGGTGTGAGTACAAGTGAGGCATGTGTGGGGTGTGAGTACAAGTGAGGCATGAGTGGGGTGTGAGTACAAGTGAGGCATGGGTGGGGTGTGAGTACAAGTGAGGCATGTGTGGGTTGTGAGTACAAGTGAGGCATGTGAGTACAGTGAGGCGTGAGTGGGTTGTGAGGACAAGTGAGGCATGAATACGAGTACAAGATAGGCATGAATGAATGCATTGTACAAATGAATTCACTTGTTTTGTTTGTTTCATAATGTCTTGTTAATTTATCCAATTTTGAAAATATAAATTCGATATTTGTTGTTGGAAAATGTACACTTGACAAATTATCAATTTAACTTTATTGTACCAATACAATAAAATAAACTGGGCTCTGATATTCGTCATTTCTATCTGTTTAGTTCTTGATGTTGTGATATACGTAATATTAAAAAGGATTATATAATAATATAACTGTGTTGCAAATAGAACTCGAATTTCTCCATGGTAATTTGAAGCTCAGTTGCTTTATGTTACAATTGGAATTGTGGCTACTTACTGTTTCAATTGAAGCCCTGGCTACTTAATGTTAGAATTGAAACTTTGGCTGTTTAGTGTTACAATTTATGTTCTCACTAATTAATCTTACAGTAGAGATCTGGTTCCGTTCTCTTAAAATGCACTCAAAAACCCTTACCGGCATGCTATCACAATTCAAGGGTGATTTCTGGAATGTGATTGGAGAGTTTAGCTTAAAAAGTCATCAGTGATTGAATGACAGAGTTATTGACAGAGTTACAACTGACAGTCACAACTAAAATAACTATTATGTAACCTACTGACGCAGGTTACATAATGTACATAATGCTATACTTATATGCCAGGTCGCTGTTGCCTGCGTGTGACGTGGACGGCTCTGTGGTGCAGTGGCAGGGGGGTCACATATTATACCCATATTATGTTGTATATAACACCCATACATCACATATAACACCCATATATCACATATAACACCCATATATCACATATAACACCCATACATCACTCATACTTGTATGCCAGGTCGCTGTTGCCAGCGTGTGACGTGGACGGCTCTGTGGTACAGTGGCAGGGGGAGGCGCTCAGGACGCCTGACTGGTGCGAGGTCGAGGCTCCCGACACGTGAGTCTGTGCTTCAGTTATGTCGAGAAATTATTCATTATTATTTAAAATATACATTTAATTATCCATTATTATTTAAATTATACATTTAATTATCCATTATTATTTAAATTATCAATTTAAATTGTATTATCATCTGTAAATTACGCAATGAAACGGTCTTTGTTCGGGCAAGCAAAATGTTAGGGCATCCACGTGTTGGTTCATAAGAACCTGGCACGGAACGCATTAAGTGCGTAAGTTCAGGTATCACAGTATAATACTGTTAAGTACTCTGCATAATTTGCTGGGGAGACTATATAATATTGTGATTTATTTGGTGATATCAATAATTTGGTGAAATATGAGTAAATGATATAATAAGCTTCATTTTGTTCTTCCTACCTATTATGCATTATGGAATATTTCGCGTGCGTATCGTCTGACAATCAGTAATCAACGCACTTATTATTTAAATTCTATAGTTATTAAATTCTTGTTCGTGTTAACGTATTAATTTTTAGAAAATTACTAAAACTATTGTAGTTACTGTAATTTTTAAAAATTCTATATTAAGTAAATTCTTGTCCGTGATAAACGTATTAATTTTTATAAAATTACTAAAACTATTGTAGTTACTGTAATTTTTAAAAATTCTATATTAAGTAAATTCTTGTCCGTTATAAACTTTTTAATTTTAATAATATTGTAGTTATTGTAATGTAATATTTCAGCGTAACGCCTGGTAACAGTCCGAGTGAAGCAGTGGCTGACGCGTGTGAACTGTACGCTGCAGTGTCAGGACCTAAGAGCCTGATACCTGACAGTGTTGACAGTCAGCAGCAGCTACTGTCAGTCGAAGCTGTCAGTAGCTGGTACCTGCATCGAGCTCGTCAGCTGGAAATGGAGTGTGGATTAGTTGACTCGGCGCTGGATCTGCTCAAGCTCGGCAGGGAAAAAAATGTTCCGGTCAGTGTGAGGATTTGGAGAGAGGAAACTGTTTTCTTTTTCAGCGTAGAAAACGGTTCTTTGAGGGGGGAATTTTATAAGAGAAAACGAGTTTTCTTTTTCAGCGTAGAAAACGGATTGTTAAGGGGGAATTTGAAGAGCGTAAACGGTTTTCTTTCTCTGCGTAGAAAACGGTTCATTGAGGGGGGAATTTGAAGAGGGAAAACGGGTTTCTTTTTCAGCGTAGAAAACGGTTCATTGAGGGGGGAATTTTATAAGAGAAAACGTTTATCTTTTTCATTGTTGAAAACGTGCCATTAAGGGGAGAATGCTATGGAAGGAATGAAGCTCAAAAATGAAACTAATTATGAGAAAAGGAAACTGGACAGGAACAAACAATGTATTAATATCGATATCAATAATGAACGGCTGTGTTAGTAGTAGAATGTGATGGTCTGCTATGGAGATATGGATGTATGGATCATATTGATGAAAGGGGTTAGCAATTCCAGCTGTATGAGGAATAAAAATTTTCTAGCGAGTAAGGAAAATGTATTAATTGTATTAATGTATTAATTAAATAATTTACAGAAAAGAAGGATAATTATAGCGGAATTTAATGCCTAGAAACGACGAGTGTTTTCTATGAGGGTACAGTGATTAGAAGGCTGAAAGGCATGCAAATTTGAAAAAAAATTATTCACTGATTTGCATTTAAAATTTCATGTCCCTAGATAATCATTGTGTTTGTTGTTCTGTAGTTCAAACCAGAAATGGTGTTTATTAATGTTGTGTTTTTTTTAGTTGAAAAAATAGTTTGTAATGATAAGTAATGTTATGAGATAAATGTAATAAATCTATAAATAAGAAATATTATTATAAATTGATTAATGATTATCAATAATCAATAGTTTTAAATGACGTCAGGGTCTGGAGGGGCTGGTGCAGACCCTGAGCTCGCTGGAGGTGCTGGTCTACGAGGCCGGTCTCATTCACATGACACTACAGGAGTTCACGCTACTGCCGCCATCACGCGTCATTGCGCTCATGCTAGACCAGGTCTGCTGCTCTGGCTCATGCTAGACCAGGTCTGCTGCTCTGGCTCATGCTAGACCAGGTTTGCTGCTCTGACTCATGCTAGACCAGGTCTGCTGCTCTGGCTCATGCTAGACCAGGTCTGCTGCTCTGGCTCATGCTAGACCAGGTCTGCTGCTCTGGCTCATGCTAGACCAGGTCTGCTGCTCTGGCTCACGCTAAAATTCATCGAAAATTACAATGATCAGCTGATCACTGTAATTTTTGCATTTATTACTGTAATTTCTTATGGCGATTTTTATAAATATGATTTTTATCCTTATGATCTTTATCCTTATGAGCTTTTTATCCGTATGATTTTTATCCTTACGATTGTTTTTAATACTAATCAAAGTAATTTTGATGCTGATTACTGTAATTTTCGCGTTAATAAATAATTTTGATGCTGATCAATAATTGTAATTTATTGGTCAGAGCGACGGGAGCAAGTTATCCTTACGATTCTCATCCTTATGATTTTTATCCTTATGATTATTTTCAATCCTGATCATAATAATTGTGGTGCTGATGACTAATTATAATTTGTTGTTTAGAGCGACGGGAGCAAGCTACTGCAGCGCCTCCGTCAGTGGGTGCTGCCGTACCTGTCTCGCTGCGAGACCTCGTCTGTCTCGTCTCGTGACGACCTCCTCACCGAGTACCTCGTCTCCCTGGCCCCACACCATCTCGACCACGTCACCGACGTACTCATGGTCAGTCTCACACTCACAAAAATCTGTTAGTCTTGTCCAAATAACGAGGCACTTCTTGCCCTTGTGCTGGTTATCATGTACATCGCCATGGTCAGTCTCGCACTCACGGAAATCTGTTAGTGTATTGTCCAAATAACGAGGCACTTCTGTACATCATGTACATCCTCCAGGTCTCTCATGCACTCACAGAAATCTGTTAGTCTTGTCCAAATAACGAGGCACTTCTGTACATCATGTACATCCTCCAGGTCTCTCATGCACTCACAGAAATCTGTTAGTCTTGTCCAAATAACGAGACACTTCTATACATCATGTACATCCTTTTGGTCAGTCTCACACTCACAGAAATCTGTTGGTCTTGTCCAAAAAATGAGGCACTTGTTGCCCTTTTGTGGGTCATCATGTACATCCTCTTGGTCTGTCTCGCACTCACAGAAATCTGCTAGTCTTCAAGGAATTTAAAAGCAAAGAAAACGCCAAGAAAATTCACCATATCGATATTGCATGCGTTTTCAATATCGATATGGTGAATTTTCTTGGTGTTTTCTTTGCTTTTAAATTCCTTGTGAACTTGCGATATAATAAGCAGACTAATTATATAAATACTTCTGCAAGTCTTGCCCAAATAACGAGGCACTTGTTACCTTTTTGTGAGACATCATGGACGTCGTCATGGTCAGTCTTACACTCACAGAAATCTGTTAGTGCTGTCCAAATAACGAGGCACTTGTTGCCATTTTGTAAGTCATCATGTACATTATCATTGTCAGTCACACATGTCATCTCGGTGACGTGTTTGTGATGACGTGTTTTAATAACGTTGTTGTAATAACGTGTGCTGGTGAAACATATTGTGCAATTACATATTGAAAGTATATTTTGTAATATCATTGTATATATTGTAATTACAATGGCGTGTGTGGTTTGTGCAATTACAAATTGAAAGTATATTGTGTAATATCATTGTATATATTGTAATTATAATGGCGTGTGTGGTTTGTGCAATTACAAATTTAAAGTATATTGTGTAATATAATGGTATATATTGTACTTATGACGCCGTTTATTGTGCGCACAGTTGGCGCGGTCGTCTCAGGATCTGCTGGGGGATGACGCGCTACACGCGTGCGCCGTGGCGTGCGTATACGCCTGCGAGCGCCTCGACCAGCTCCCTGCCGCGCACGCCATCCTGCGCGCTCTGCCTCCCGCCCCCGACGAGTGTGTCCAATAACGCGCTTCAAAAAGAATTTTTTATTTTGATTTAAATATGATCGCTTAAAATATTTCTTTTTAATTAATAACTCGCTTCAATGGAGAATTTTAAATTTTGATTTAAATAGGATCGCTTAAAATATTTCTTTTTAATTAATAACTCGCTTCAATGGAGAATTTTAAATTTTGATTTAAATAGGATCGCTTAAAATATTTCTTTTTAATTAATAACTCGCTTCAATGGAGAAATTTTTTTTTAATTTTTATCTAATAACTCGCTTCAATGTAGATTTTTTATTTTGATTTAAATATGGTCGCTTAAAATTTTTCTTTCTAGTTAATAACTCGCTTCATTGGAGAATTTTTAATTTTGATTTAAATTCAGTCACTTAAAATTTTTTAAATTGATAAATCGCTTCAATGGAGAATTTTTAATTTTGATTTAAATTCAGTCGCTTAAATTTTTTTAATTAATAATTCGCTTCAATGTAGAATTTTTAATTTTGATTTAAATTCAGTTGCTTAAAATTTTTATTTTTAATTAATAACACTCTTCAATGTAGAATTTTTAATTTTTATTTAAAGATGGTTGCTTATAATTTTTCTTTTTGATTAACAACTTGCTTCAATTGAGAATTTTTTATTTTGATTTAAATATGGCTGGTTAAATATTTTCTTTTTAATTAATAACTCGCTTAAATGGAGAATTTTTAATTTTAATTCAAATTCAGATCAGTCGCTTAAAATTTTTTAAATTAGAAACTAATCAATTCAATTCTTAGCCAATAAAATATAAATGTAATGTGTTAAGGAAATAAATAGGACTTGTACATAAAATTTCATGTAGCGAATTATTGTGTTTTCTCATTAAATAGCTACTAATCAATTTAATTCTCAGCCAATAAAGAAATACATTTAATGTACTAATTAAATAAACATATAGGTAAAATGTATGTAAAATTTAAGTAGAACATATGTAGGAAATGTACGTAAAATTTCATGTAGCAAATTATTGTGTTTTTCTCTTTAAATAGCAACTAATCAATTTATTTCTCAGCCAATAAAAAATATAGATACATTTATGTGTTGAGGAAATAAAAATGACATGTACGTAAAATTTCTAGTATGTAGAAAAATATTGTGTTATGTCATAATGAATTGTACATGAATTGGACGTGTACAGCTGCCTGCTGGAGCAATTTCTGCGTATAGCAAAATGCGCAGCAGACCTGGTCATCAGGAAATAAAGATGTATGTAAAATGTACATGAAATATCTAGTAGCAAATTATTACGTTTAAATATGAATTGCACGTGTACAGCTGCGTGCGTGAGCGCGTACAGCTGCTGGAGCTGCAGCTGTGGGCGTGCGAGATGCTGCAGACGCGCGGGGTGCCCACGCTGCCCTCGCAACTGCGGGACGTTACGTGTACCGCCGCCCGCCACCTCTACACCAGACTAGCCCGCACGCCGCTCAAGAGGTAGGGCTGCTCTACACCAGACTAGCCCGCACGCCCCTCAAGAGGTAGGGCTGCTCTACACCAGACTAGCCCGCACGCCCCTCAAGAGGTAGGGCTGCTCTACACCAGACTAGCGCGCACGCCCCTCAAGAGGTAGGGCTGCTCTACACCAGACTAGCGCGCACGCCTTTCAAGAGGTCAGAGGCCGGAATATAAAAAAATTGTTAAGTGCTCGTTATTCCATTCCATCGTTACGTTTAAATATATTAAACATTTTTTAATTACCGTCTCCTCATCTTCGAATTTTGGATGAAGCATAATATATCTGTTGTTGTTACCTCGTGCATGTATCAGTAAGTATTATATCATACAAACATTATCAAAAATTTGTGAAGAATCGTGCAATATTTTTCACGCTAACTATAATGACCATTTATTAAAGACATTTTTAATTTTTTCATTAGAATAATAACAATAATAATTGGTAATGTTCTGCCAGACCGTCGCTCGTGAGCCTGGGTGAGTGGCGGGCGCTGCTGCACGACATGCTGGAGCTGCAGCAGAAGCTGCTGCTCTGCTCACTGCCTAGTGACTGCTATAAGGTTATTATTATTATTACTATTATTTATTATTATTGTTATTATTATTAATTTTATTATTCATAGTATTATAATTGTTCAAGTGCAAAACATAGTTTCATGTTGCTAGTTTACATAGGTAGTAATGTGGATGGAAGTAATGTGAGACGGAAGTAAAAACATAAAGCGTTATTGATTGCACCTTCAAACTGACGTTATATTGTTAACGCTAACGTTTTTTATAATATATTTTTTGAATGGACTTTGGGAATACAGCGCCGTTGAGGGATTGTGTTTTAGAATTATGTCATAGAATGAAAGTTTATTTTAAACTATAATTCATTTCTTTTAACACACAGAGCGTTGCTGAGGCGCTGCTGACATCAGGCAAGAGCGAGTACATAGCGCTGAGCATTAACTTCATGTTGCTGACCCCTCCCCAGCCCCATAACCCCCAACAGGGGGGTGTCAGGCCCCTGACCCCTACACAGCCCCCCAACCCGTACCTGGAGGGGGTCGGCTACCCCCTGTCCCTACAGTTGGTGCTGGACGCGGCCCGTGGTTACTTCAACGCCGCCGAGCGCTACGGCGACCCTTCTTTGGACCTTGCCAGGTCAGCCCTACTTTCTTTAGGATCTTAATAAAAAAAAGTTATATTATTAATTCATCCATTTTTAAAAATAGTATCTTAATGAAAAAGTTGTGTTATTAACTCATTTTTAATAAGTTGTAGTATTAATTCATTCTTAAAAAGGTGAAATATTTTTTCATTTTTAAAAAGTTGTTTATTATTTCATTTTTAAAAATCATTTATGAAAAGTTGTAGTATTAATTCATTTTTGAAAAGTTGTTGTACGGTATTAATTCATTTTAATAGGTTTTAGTATTAATTCATTTTAAAAGTTTTAGTATTAATTCTTTTTTGATAGGTTTTAGTATTAAGTCATTTTTGAAAAGTTGTAGTATTAATTGTTTTTCAATAAGTTGTAGTATTAATTCATTCCTAATAGGTTTTTGTATTAATTCTTTTTTTGAAAAGTTGTATTATTAATCATTTTTAAAAAGTTGTGCGAATTATTTAGGTCTAAAGTAGTCGCGTGGATAAAATATGGGATCCATGCGTGCGAAAATCCACCGTAACGGAACCGACCAAAACGCACTTTTTAAGCACGTTGCTACTGTTGGGTCAATAGTAAAAAGTTTTAGCATTAACATTTTAAATGTTAAAATGAACTACACTAATTTGTTTTGTATTAAAGAGTTTTAATGTCAATTTATTTAATATTAGAAAGATTTTATATTTATAGCGTAAATCGACCGTTTCTGTTGATTGTACTCGTATCCTCTAAATTTTTCAACTGAATGTGGAGCTGGTCTTAGAAACGTTTTCAATGAAGACGTGAACTTTCTTGGCGTCTTCTTTTTCTTTGAAATTCTTGGTGTACTTGTTATATGAGCAGATTAGTTTTTAGGGATTTTTGCCAGCATTTGTGGTTTTACAGTTTCATTGATGTTAAAAATTTCAAAATCCTAAATTTTCACATAGACATGTCAAACTTTAATCAAATATTGTATTTGTTGAATGATATTCTCACTTGAAATTTCGGTGCAAAACGGCGACGAAATTTGGAACTTATTGAGCGTCATGCGTAAGTACTTATTTTGATTTTACCCCTTTCTATGTAATGTTTGGAAGCTAAAAAACTAATTTTAATAGTGTTTGAAAGGTGTAAAGCCCTCACTCACTCTTAGTGTTGCGGTGATGATGAGAATTCTATGACAATTCAATGTTCATTTTGAGGCATTGTGAAATGATTAAATTTCTGAGTCGAGAGCCGTGTTATAAAAAATATTTATGAGTTCGTTGAAGGTGTTTCGTCGATGCCTAATGACGAAGCTATATTTGGTAGAGCCCAAGAATCAAGTGCTTAGTCATTTTAATCCGTTCTCATATTTCTCGTGTCTATTTATTTTTGGTTGCTATTAAACTCATGTGAAAGGTGCCCTTGCAGTTCGTTTGAACCAGACGCCACGTAGAATTATTATTATTTATCATTCGGATCTCAAGCTTATCTTGCCGATCACAGTTGCGGAATCTGCCGCTACATGTTCGTGGACCGCTACGTGTTCTTGCATGGACCGCCACCTATATATGGGCCACCACGTGTATTTGAGTCGCTACGTGTTTTGGCAAATTTTGATCGTACGGCCTTTGACGGCTTATTTGTTTTTGTGACCGTTGCAGGCATTGCCTGGACCTGCTACAGGCCGATGAGGCAGAGTTGCAAGAGGAAGTCCAGGTCGAGAAGGATCTCATGACAGCTCTCGAGATCCTGCACGAGTTCGACGAACATCCGCTCCCTCTGCAGGGTAGGGGGTGTTTTTTTAGCGCATTTTCTCACTTATGGAAAAAGGCGCTATTGTGCTCGCCATGTCCGTCCGTGACGTCCGTCCGTGTCTTCACGTCACGGACGCGCTTTTTGTCACTCACTGCAGTGAGCACTGAGTTATATTTTTTTTTGCCATGATTTTACTGTTTAAAAACCCGCAGATTCTGAAAATACGACGAGATATTTTAATATGGATTTTTACTTGATTTTACTGTACTTAGAAAATTTCGCGGGTCCAGAATTGCAATTGGTATAGTTTTTTCGGTAAACAATGGAATGTTTTGGCAACACTATTTAGTGAAGAACGTTTAATTTGAGTAAATGCGAGTCCAAGACAACACTAATGTGAGAGGAATAAATTTTATTTACTTAAAGTAAAGTCGAGTTAAAATAACACTAATTTGAAAAAAAAAATGTTTTGCATTGAGTAAATGCGAGTTCAAGGCAGCACTAATACGATCGGAAAAAATGTTATTTAATTAAAGTAAAGACGAGTTAAAACAACACTACAGTCAACTGGGGTGACTTCAGCCACCGGGGGTGACTTCGGCCACACCTACAACAGAAACTAATGGCAGAAAAACAAAATAATAAACGCTGGCCAAAGTGACTTTGGCCACCGGGGTGACTTTGGCCACCGGGGTGACTTTGGCCACCGGGGTGACTTTGGCCAACGTTTATTATTTTGTTTTGCTGCCATTTGTTTCTGTTGTAGTGGTAGCCGAAGTCACCCCACTTGACGGTAATTTGAAAAAAAAACGTTTGCATTAATTAAACGCGAGAGAAAAATGTTCTTTTCTTGAAATAAAGTCGAGTTAAAACAATACTAATGTGAAAAAAGTTTGCATTGAGTAAACGCGGGAGAAAAATGATCTTTTCTCGAAGTAAAGTCGAATTAAAACTACACTAATTTAAAAAAGAGTTTGCATTGAGTCCACGCGAGAAAATTTTTATTTTCTTGAAGTGAAGTCGAGTTAAAACAACACTAATTTGAAAAAAAAACGTTTGCATTGAGTAAACGCGAGAGAAAAATGTTATTTACTTAAAGTAGACACGAGTTAAAACTACACTAATTTAAGAAAAAACATTTGCATTCAGTGTTTGTAAACCTTAAAGTGTGTCCCCGCGCAGTGCGCCTGTGCAGTGACCGCGTGAGCTTCATCGCGGGCGCCGTGGAGCGTCGCCCCCACACGTGCCTGCAGCTGTGGTGGCGCCTCCTGCAGCTGGCCAGGCTCCTGAGACTGGGGCGTGATGCTGTCTACAGGGACACCATCGTCCTTACCTTGCTGGCGTCCCGAGCTCTGAAGGTGAGTGACAGTGATGGCTGTGGTGAGGCTCCTGAGACTGGGGCGTGACGCTGTCTACAGGGACACCATCGTGCTCACCTTGCTGGCCTCACGAGCTCTGAAGGTGAGTGATAGTGATGGCTGTGGTGAGGCTCCTGAGACTGGGGCGTGATGCTGTCTACAGGGACACCATCGTGCTTACCTTGCTGGCGTCCCGAGCTCTGAAGGTGAGTGATAGTGATGACTGTGATGAGGCTCCTGAGACTGGGGCGAGATGCTGTCTACAGGGACACCATCGTGCTCACCTTGCTGGCCTCACGAGCTCTGAAGGTGAGTGATAGTGATGGCTGTGGTGAGGCTCCTGAGACTGGGGCGTGATAGTGATGGCTGTGGTGAGTAATAACAGGGACACCGTAAGATGAGTAATGAAAGGACACCATCGTCCTTTCCCCCGCTAGAGCTCCCGAGTTCTAGAGGGGAGTAACATATATAGGTGCAACATTTTAAAATTACGTTGTGATTTGCATTTGTTCTACCGAGCATGCGATTGAGTTTCTGAAATACTTTCAATCATATCTTAAATTTTATTCTTTTAACTTCGCTTCTAGATTTTCTGTTAATTATCTTCAGATGCTAAAAAGTGGTCTTATTCAATGAATTTTGGCACTGTGTCCATGATTGTTCTACAGAAATGTATAACTTGAGCAATATTACACCACAATCGGTTATGTCTCATCTTGCTTATGTACAAGTTTTTGGTGGTAATGAATATGGACTTATGATTATTTTCTTACAATACTCAAAGCCCATTCACGTGTTTCAACTTTTATTGGGTGTGGTGTTGATACTATAATTTGATATTCCCTTGCGAATTTTTTTAGCGAGTTTATCTTCACAAATGTCACTGTGGTTACTGTTTCTTTGGTAAGTAAGCTCACCGTAGTGTATTGCGCTGGCTAGCCAAAATTATTATCAATTATAATATATAGTATATTCTATTGTTTTATTGTATGGCTTCTAGAAATTTCGATCTCGTTGTTCGATTACATTCTGCTTCTGTCTTATTGCGAAAATAGTATTTAGACCAAATTAGCACGATTGTGTTAACTGAGACACCAAGCCAATTTGTTTGAATGAAATTTTGTTCTTCAGATCTTTAAATCCAATATGGTTCTATATTATATCAAAATTTTGGGCACGGAGCTCCTCAAACTCGTTTATGATGTCTGCATCATATGAAAAAAATTTCATTTGGACACATTTTCCTGCATTGATTTTTGATTCCTTAATTTTTTATAGTTACCCTTTGTATTATTTTTTGTAGAGGAAATTTGAAACTCTAAATAGACACAAACTAATAAGTTAATGAGTCGAACCAACTCCTAAATAGCATTTAAAGAACCGCAATTAAAGACCGAATATGGGTAAAAACGTTGGAAATAAATCAAGTGACCATAAGGATCTATCGAACAAATCATTATTTCGTACATACAATTTTGTACGACTCTCAGAACTACGTGAATTATGACTAGATTTTCTGTAATCTATGGTCGAAGCGGCTAATAAATTTTAATTTTATCTCCAAGAATAGACGAATTTTTTCTTTTGAAATTTCATTTAAATTCTTTACCATCGGTGGGATCTATTCAAGCAGGGAAATTAGAACACATTTAGTTTATTCTAAATTTATATTATATTCTTCAGCTCGTAGCGACTGGTGCAAAATTTACGAGTGATGAAACTCGCTCAGCATGGCATTGCTACATGGCCGGTCTGAAGATCATTTTCGTTAGAAAATCTACGATAGCAGGATGAATATAGTCTAAGAGGGATGAAAAATATTTACAGTGATGAATATTGAATGGGAAACGGAGAGCCTTATACACCGAGCATACGTAGTTCGCGTGTTATGCTCGAATGTTGAGTGATGATGCTTGAACTTCTCTTCTTTTATTAGAGCGTTTTAAAAATTTTGCACATTCTTTCATATTTACTTTAAAGTTTGAATTAATTTGGATCATATTTACTGTAAAGTTTGAATTAATTTCGAAAATTAGACAAATTTAATTTATAGTTCGAATTAAATGCTTGAATTTGTTCTGGTCAGATGTGATGATAAGATTGGATGATTAATGAGTATAGAAGACACATTTGCCAGAAGAGGTTTTCAAAGGAAGCTAACCATTACTATGGAAGCTAACTCGGAGGAATCTGCAGATTTTGCAGTGACCTTCATTAAAGAATTTCCCTGCCTCTTCTAATATCTTTCACAAGCTGAAAAATCGTACTCTTATTTCGGTACTACATTTAGGTGATTTCTCTCCCTCTGATATGCCGCCATAGTTAAACATTTACCAACTCCGAAACTTAAAAAAAGACATGGAATAGCAGCCGTAGACAATAACGGTCCTGGTATGAAATTTATCCATTCAACATTTATTAATTTCTATCCTTTTTAACATGTCATGAACACCTAAGGTTACTTATTTATTTCTGTTAACATGTGCCCAACATGTCATGGACCCTTGCTACACATGTAACAACAACACGCAAGAATGAGTGCAGCTTTTTGTTCCTACAAAATTATGAGTAAGAAAAGGCTTTCTCCTCAGCTGAACCGGCATTTAGAATTGAAGTTTTGATAAGTTTTTAAACAGAAGCTACTTTTGCCATGAAGTTGATACGATTGCGGATTTTATGAGAATAGTTTGCGCATGTTATCGGACATAATTTATCACAGTAAAAAGGGCCAATATTCTCCTATGACGAAAGAGAACCGTATTAGGCTAAATGAGCTCGACCCTCTATAGCTGCAGCTCTCAAACCGCCGTAATAGTGGTTGTTTCTTTTATCTGGAGACAGTAATTAGGAAGATATCCCGCATATTGGCGGCGCCTGCTGCAGGACAGCGTCGTTGTACACTCTTAATGGTGTTGAGTTCCAGGCCAAAAGCACGGGATGTATCGGAGGCTCTCCGCAACTGAACACGTTATTAATTTCCATCGGCGATAGCGCGCTGCCCCAAACCACGAAGTTGCTCATTTCTCCCGTGACGTGCGATGTAGGATCAAAGCCCGTGAGGCTTGGTAGTAAAGTTTTACCAAGAAGCATCATTCCGTTGGTTGGAAGAGCCTGCACATCAGGGATGGTATTCTCGAGAATACCTGCTAGTTGGCCGTTGATGTAGATGCTGAGTACATGGTCTTGGCTACTCCATGTGAAAGCCAAGTGATACCATGTATTTAAATCAAAGTTGTATGGCATTTTCCGGAAATTTACGTTCAACGGAACTTCCGTCACTATGTCCACGTCATCTTCTGCGAAAATTGGCACTGCGTTGATTTTAATCGGGGTCGGTGTCCCTTCGGTTGTTCTGATCTCTTGCAAAGCTGGGACGTTATTATTTCGCTCAATGAAAGCAGCGGCATTTCTTACCTGTTCTTCGTTATGGATGGGCATAGGCAGCGACTGAGGCGGGATTAGCTCTGAACGGATATTTTTTGGAATGTTCTGAACTTCTTGGACTACTCGTGTCTTCTGGATTTGGGCGGGTCTCTCCGGGGCAAATCTGTTTTTGGATTCTGATTTTTCGCTGTATTCAGGTGGCAGCTGTTCGTGTGAAATCCGTGATGGCTCTTGGTAAAACGATTCTTGTTGTCCACTAATATCTTGCTGTACAGGCATAGCTGTCTCGTATACTGTAGGACGGAATCGTAGTCCGGCCAATAGTTCGTCTCTGGGTCCTGCTGGAACTCTCATTTCGAAACGGGTTTTGGTTCGTTGAGGCCTCTCTTTTTTTAATACTTGCGGCTGTGGCGTTGCCTCCTCGTATGGATAGTATGCGAAGTCACCCGCAATGGCGCCACCAATCTGTCCGAGTTCAGACGGTGGGAAATCGGTTTCTTCGTATTCTGGAACAATTTCTTCTATAGCAAGCACTGGCTCCTCAATGTCAGTTTCCTTGATGATTATTGGAGCTGGTTCCGACTCAGCAAAACGTAGTGGTTCTTCTTTATAGGTTAGAACCGGTAATGGCTCGGGAATTTGCTCTAGTCTATTTTGGTTTGTTTCTTCTTCATTGAGCGCTGGATGGTCGTACCCTTCTCGTGCCAGATCATATACTGCGTGGAGGTTGACTCTGGGACTTTGCCTTGCTACGCTTTCTTGGTACTGCTCGTACATTCTATTGAACGCGTCAACGTCAGTAATGGGCATAGAATAAACTACGACTTTATTACCATTGTCTTCAATCTTCGGCTTCCCTTCCAGTACTTTCTTGAATTCGTCTAGTGAGTGCGAAGTGATGGGGCGGTGTCCTTCAGAATTATGTTTTGTGCTGAAAGGTCCTTTGCTATTCAAGTTGTTGTAGGCTTTTCTTTCTTTTGATTTTGTTGAAGTTGACTTTGTTGTTTGCTGTTGCGTGGCTGGGGTTGGCGGCTTGGTAGAAATCACTGATGGAACTTGGATTTTCCTAAGAGGAGAAGGCGTTGTGGTTCGGGCAAAGGTAGGTCTGGAGGTTTCAGTTGATGTAGCATGCGTGATGGGAGCTCTGGTAGTTGTTCTGGGCCGAGGCGCACGTGTTGTTGTAAGAATTGGTATTTCTGATGCTACTGATTCCTCTTCGGAAGTTTGTTTCAGTCTTGCCCACAGAGGGACGCGAGATTCGGTTTCTTTCTTTTCGGTTTTCACTTGAACGGGTCGACTTGTTGTTGTACTTGTTGTGGTACTCGCCATTTTTGCGACAGTGGCCGGGGCTTCAGTTCTTTTTCGTTGACTGTAACGGAAAGCATCAGTCGGTCTGACCGTTTTAGAAGAATCGCGTGATCCAGGACGTCGAAGATCAGGAATGAAAGGCCTTGATGGTCTGGCTCGTGTAGTTGGTTCCGTGGTGTGAAGAGCTACGAAATCTTGAATGATAGTAGAACTTGGAACGTTGGCGGTAATTGGCTGTACTTGTGATACCCAGCCACCGTTCTTCGTGTTGTCTTCCTGACTCCAGATGAACTTTTCGTTATCGGGCGGCAAAATTTTCGTTCCAACGTTAACGTTTGTGAAGTCTGGAGATTTAGGATCTTCATTCAGTGGGTCCCACTGATTAGTTGACAGCGGCGGGGCATTGTGGCCGTTCCAGTTAATCACAACAAAATCATTCTTTCCTGATGGCTGAGTAATGATTTTTGGTTCAGGGTTAGCGCTTTCTTGCATTTGCAATTCATACCCGACATCGTACCAGTTTTCATAGTGATTTTGAGTTTCGCTACCAGAAGTCTCTAAGTCTGCCACTCCCATTTCTGACACGTCAACAAAATTCATGGGAGTCCAAGTGTTCGATCGTTCTTTTCTTGGGCTCATGATATTAATTACGTCACCCAATCCCATAGAATAATCGTTTGCATTCCTACGTTTCCTTCCGCTTCCGAATCTTGATCGCGGTTGGCGATCGACCTGTTCCACTTGCGACAGCTGTTGAGGCTTTGGTCCTCCCCAAAGCACTCCCGCTCCATCGTGCCTCAGGAAGAAGGCTATTTGGTAGGAAGCGTCTTCGGAGATGATGGTTACCAACGGGGCTACACCCCCAGGGAACTCAGTGACGTTCACCCAACTTGAAACGGTGATGCCGGAGACTGGCGAAGTCGATGGGCCGTCGACCCTGGCGAAGCCGTCTTCCCCCAGCAGCAGGCGGCGGGTCTCCGCTGTGTGGTAGAGGCTTACTTGTACCGCCACCGCTGCCATCAGCAACATCCTGCAAAAATTTAGAATTTTACCCACAAATTTCTTCGAAGAATTTGGTAAATATTTCTTACAGCTTGTCTACTTTTTACGTAGTGTGTTTCCTACTCACTAGAAAAAAAATACAACGATTTGAAAATTAAAATTTGAAAAATTCGCCAGGAAATAACAAATATTTTGACTAACCTTAAAATTTTGCTTATTTGTTTTTAATGAGTTAAAATTTTGTACGTTAATTCTAACTAATTATAAAAGGTTTAGAACAATTTTCTATTATGAATAACTCACGTAGCTTCTGAAGTAATTTGGCTAAGTTCAGAAACGAATGCTATGTATCCGCCTTACTAATTTCCTGCAGAATCAATGCCTTTGACGTGTAAAATTTAAGTACCTACTAAAAGAATATATACATTCCGTATAATATTTTCGATGGGCCACGAGATGGGCTCGGTTTTTCAATGCCTTTCATGGCACGAATTGCATTACGCATTCTAGATTGTGCAACAAGATTGTTCGCAAATCGAAGTGGCAGCTGTCGGCTTATTCCCTACTGCCTCAACCGCTACTTTCACAGCTTACAAGCGCGTGTGTCATGACGTGCATCTATGCAAGGTGTATCAAAGAAGTGCATGCTCAGAGAAATGAGTGGTACTAAGTCTAAATCGCGATACACTTTTGCTATTGTGTGTCATGACGTGCATCTATGCAAGGTGTATCAAAGAAGTGCATGCTAAGAGAAATGGATGGTACTTAGTCTAAATCGCGATGCACTTTTGCTATTGTGTGTCATGACGTGCATCTATGCAAGGTGTATCAAAGAAGTGCATGCTCAGAGAAATGAGTGGTACTAAGTCTAAATCGCTATGCACTTTTGCTATTGTGTGTCATGATATGCATCTATGCAAGGTGTATCAAAGAACTGCATGCTCAGAGAAATGAGTGGTACTAAGTCCAAATTTCGATGCACTTTTGCTATTGTGTGCTGTGACATGCATCTATGCAAGGTATATAAAAGAAGTGCATGCTCAAAGAAATGAGTGGTACTAAGTCTAAATCGCGATGCACTTTTGCTATTGTGTGCAGTTTGACCCAGCGAATGAGTGAATCAGAATTACGTGCAAAAAGTGGGTTACTCATTGGATAGTGTGACTCAATCGTTTTTCATTCCTTAATGAGACTTAAATGTTATTTTGGGGCCTATATACGTATTTTTTTCTTGCTGGCGTGTTCTATACATAGGGCGTGTGGTTCATCTTGTTTATTTGTACACTGTTATTCTTACAAAATATCAAAAGTGCGTGAATTTTTGCAAAAGCTGTCGTACATGCGAGTAATCAACTGAAGCTTCAGAATAGACATAATTCTTGACTAATGTGAGCCTTCTCGTTCTATTTTATCGGTTTCTCGCAATGGATTTCACCACCCATTGAAGAGCTATTAATCTCAGCTTAGTTTGACTGTATATGTGTTGGAGAGTTTTTTAATTCGTAATCGACGTTACTCAACCTAGATCATTTCAGCCAATGACCGCGCGGCCGTTCCAACGCGAAGAATTGGCTCTGCCAAGCCCTATAATCGATATACTTACTTGACGTTCTCTTACAATTCGTCTGACTTTTTTAATTGATTGTTGTGACACGAGAATTGCTAATATTGAACCTCAAGAATTGCTGATATTGTGACTCGAGAATCGCAGCTATTGTGACTCGAGAAGCGTAGCTATTTTGACACGAAAATTGCAGTTATTGTGACCCAAGAAGCGTAGCTATTGTGACCCGAAAATCGCAGTTATTGTGACCCGAGAAGCGTAGCTATTGTGACCCGAGAAGCGTAGCTATTGTGACACGAAAATCACAGTTATTGTGACCCAAGAAGCGTAGCTATTGTGACCCGAGAATCGCAGTTATTGTGACCTAAGAAGCGTAGCTATTGTGACCCGAGAGTTGCTGATATTGTGACTCAAGAATCGCTGTGATTGTGGCTCGGTCGCAACTCGACGATAATGACTAGCGTTTATCACTGGCATAGCAATGCAATTCTCATCTCGTTAATTTATTGCAGCCTCTCAACAAGGAGGTCTTACTGACCAAAATCCATTATCTTTGAATTCGGTTGGAAATTTATTGTATTGAATACACTATAGTGAAATGAAACTTAACTGATGGACTGCATTTCAACATATTTGCTTGCGCTATTTACTCTGAATTTTCATTACACAAATTTAATTCCTATGCATTCAAACTTGTTACCATATTCTTTAAGTCTCTAATTCATTCTCTATTCTGTAAATAATTCATATCTGGTTCCATCTAAGATTCCTTATTGCATGTAACTATTTAATCGATCTTTATTCCTCCAAATAACTATTTTGCTCTCCGAGATATTTTACAAAACAGTTTTTCAAAGCGTGAATGCAAGTCACATTGATCGGCGTCGGTTTATTGAGCCTCTAGCATTTCCTTGCCACGAACAATGGCATGTCGGAGTACAGCAATGCAGTTATTACTACAGCTCGTTAGCTACCAACCTTCACCTGTTGTAGGTGCTTGTGCTGAGTGCTCTGTTGTATTGTTCTCTTTACAAGAGGTCTCACCCCTTTCCCTCACTATGCTTTTTATTACTAACACGCAATTTCATTTCCTTCGTGAAATTTTTTTCGTTACCAGCACGCAATTTCATTTCCTATGATGAATACTTTTCGTTACCAACACTCAATTGCATTTCACACGAAAATATGTTTCTTTACCAACAGGTAAATTCATTTCCTACGAGTTTTTTTTCGTTACCAGCACGCAATTTCACTTTCTACGCGAACTATTTTTCGTTACCAACACGCGATTTCATTTCTTACGTGGAATATTTTTCTTTACTGCCACGCAATTTCATTTTCTATGAGGCGTATTTTTCGTTACCAACACGCAATTTCATTTCCTTCGAGGCATATTTTTCGTTACAACACGCGATTTCATTTCCTACGAGGCATATTTTTCGTTACAACACGCGATTTCATTTCCTACGAGGCATATTTTTCGTTACAACACGCAATTTCATTTCCTACAAGGCATATTTTTCGTTACCAACACGCAATTTCATTTCCTACAAGGCATATTTTTCGTTACCAACACGCAATTTCATTTCCTACAAGGCATATTTTTCGTTACCAACACGCAATTTCATTTCCTACAAGGCATATTTTTCGTTACCAACACGCAATTTCATTTCATACGAGGAATATTTTTCGTAGGCAATCGCTTGTACATGACGCCTATTACAACGCCTATTAGAAGAAGGCTCTGCATGGGATGGTTTCAATTGGTTTTTCTTTGCACGGTTTGCCTTCTAATTTTCTTGTGCTGTCATCATAGTTACCAAGTTATCATAAATCACGAAACTCTGTGTTGGTAACTTTGATTGCATAATAATTACGTATTATATTCTTATAATGTAAGGTGAAGCATATAAATAATTAGAATTATGATATATAATATAATTATATGCTTATCAACTATATATTATAATTATAGGTGATGATTTACTGCAATGACTAATGTATTAATCATTGATGATTTAATCCGGATAGTTGAGGAACAGTAGACGGCAGCGCTAAATGCACCTGCATAATATATTGAATTCGTTAAAATATAATGAACTGAAAATTAGATAAATACGCGAATGAATCACGAGAAGCTTGAAAGTAGTAATGTACAACATTAAAAAAAATGGATTAGTAATCCGTTGATGCAGTGCGCCAAGAGCCTTCGCGTTATACCTAGCGACAGTTTTTCTTCTAATGGTGTGTCTTGTGTTTGTATAACGTTAGGCTTTGTGTTTTCCTAATGGTATGGGTATGAGGTGGATGGTATGGATGTTAGGTGGATGGTGTGGGTATGAGGTGGAAACGTATCAATTTGCCAGTATGAATCTGACTTGCATATACTTTTCCGTAATAAATTTACATATTTTTCAAGCCCTCAAACTAACGTGCGGTACATTATAAAGACAAATGTTATCGTGCACTCAGTGTTTCACTGCGTGGTCGTTGCCACTATTTATGAGACGTCGAGATGTTTTTTTGCAAGAGCTGGTGCCACATTGTAACCCATCTTAACCGTAACCCTCGGCCTGCGATCACAAGTGTACTTATATTTTTCACGGCCTCGTGGCCGCGTGCTGGCCGCTGCTGCAGAATTTTGTGATCTCACTTATATATTTCACGGCCTCGTGGCCGCGTGCTGGCCGCTACTACAGAATATTGTGGCCTCACTTATATTCTCACTTATATTTCACGGCCTCGTAGCCGCGTGCTGGCCGCTACTACAGAATATTGTGGTCTCACTTATATTTTTCACGGCCTCGTGGCCGCGTGTCGGCCGCCACTACAGAATATTGTGGTCTCACTTATATATTTCACGGCCTCGTGGCCGCGTGCTGGCCACTACTACACAATGTTGTGATCTGCAGCACGCGCTGCTCTTGACATTCTCAAACGACGTTATTATAAATCTTGTGAGCTTATTTATTTCAAGAACTTATTTATTTCATTGAACTTATTTATTTCATATTTTGTTGTGACATTTCTTTCAAGACTCATCCAGGTTTTGCATGTCATAAAAGTTGACTTGGAATTATTGTTTGTAAACCACATTGAGCTGGTAATATTTTGTATAATTTAGTAGTTATTTCGATGGCCACGATTTACAATTTAGCTGCCGGGAAGATATTTAGTTCAATTTACCTGCATTTAAATTACAATATTATATCATAGAGAAACGAATACTTAAGGTTATTGTTTTTTTTTGTTGTGGTTGATGTCGCTAGTTGCTTAGCCTCTCGATTATCATGAATTGTATGCCTTACGTACTTGAATATATTTATTCCAGTTTCTTTCTCGGTGGAGTGAATTGATTTCTTTTGTTAATTTACAATGAAAAAAGGTCCTAGTTAGATGTAATAAATATCCCAATTAGGTAGAATAAATGTCCCAGTTAGGTGGAATAAATATCCCAATTAGGT